CATCAGCTAATCCCAGATGGTTGGACAGACATCAACCAGACAGTCAGTCAATAGTCAAGTCATTAATTTATTAGTTTATTAGGTAGACCTATGTATTGGTATGAAAGACCCGTAGTCAGTCCATCAGTCAGTAAGACATTTGATTCAATATCACTCATTCAGTCTGTGACTTGATGAGCCTGTCAGTTTGACAGTCTGTATGTCTGTCAGTCAATCAATCAGTAGGTGTCAGTCGATCAGTCAGTCAATCAATCAATCAGTCTGTTGGTCAGTCAATCAATAAGTCAGTCAGTCAATTGTCAATCATTCAGTCAAGTAATCAGTTATTTAAGTCAGTCAGTGAGTCATTTCAGTCAATCAGCCAGTCAGTCAGTCAGTCAGTCATTCATTCAGTCTATCAGTAATTCAGCCAGTCAGTCAGTCCATCATTCAGTCAATCAGTCAGTCAGCTAATCAATCAGTCAATCAGTCAGTTTGCCATTCTGTCAATCAGTCATTCAATCAGTTAATCAGTCATTTAATTAGTCATTCAAACAGTCAGTCAGTCTATCAGTTGGTCAGTCAGTCAGTGTGTCATTCAGTCAATCAGCCATTCTGTTAGTCATTCAAACAATCAGTCAATCAGCCATTCTGTTAGTCATTCAAACAATCAGTCAATCAGTTAGTTTATCAGTGAGTCAGTCAGTCACTTATATGTAGTCAGTCAGCCAGAAAGTCTATCAGTCAGTCAGTTGGTCTGTTCATAAGTTAGTCCATTATTTAAAGTTTTCCAGTCAGATTGAATGTGGTTGCCACAGACTAAAGTTTGTAACTTCCTTTAACAAATTCCTTGATCAAAAGAAAGTTGTGCAGACCAAATTATGCAGAATGTTAGATACTGTAAGTAAGAAACAGCCTCCAGGTTCTCATAACAACCATTCCTTCCGTATTAGTTTGTTTTTCCCAAATCATGAATACAAATTGCCTAAGTCCACTTTATGACAGGAAATGGTAGCATCATGATGCTGTAATTTAGACATTCTAGGACTTTTCTTCAAATTTTAAATTTTTCTTCTCTCCAAATAAACTTTCTGGAATTCCCGAGGCATTTAAGGATTTTTTCTGGATCATTAGCTGACCTGTGGCAACCACGTACCAATTGAGTTAGGTATGCAGTCATGATACAATCAAGTGAATGTAAGTATGTCAGTCACTTTGAGGTGATAATAATAAAATATTCATTTTATTATTGAATGAATATTCATTTGAGTGGATCCTGGTAGGTAATTGACTGTTGCCACTTTTTATTTATTTTGCCACAATTGACTGATTGAAGTATGAACAGATAAAACTCTTATTTCATTCTGTGCCACCATGCCTATTTGCATGGCACAGGCTTGACAACAATATTCTATTGTTGTTTTGTATATGAATTTGTATTATACATCAAACAATCAGAAAAGCCATTGACTCTCCTACAGGGTGACTTTGTATAACTAAATGGTTGCCTGTCAGCCTTCATGACTGTCCATCAGTCAGTCAGTCATTTTGTGTGCCAGTCAATCACCCAGTCAGTTGTCAGTCAGTCAATCCCCATTGCTTTCTGTTAGCCAGTCTAAAGGCTGATTGTCAGTCAGTCAAGCAGACAGCCAGCCAGTCAGTCAGTCAGTCAGTCTATCAGTCTATCAGTCTATCAGCCAGGTAGTGAGTTGTTGTCAGCTTAACAGTTTGTCTGTTGCATTATCATGCAGCCAGTCACTGAGACAGTCAAACATCAAGCCAGTTGGTCAATCAATTGGTCAGTCAGTCTGTCTGTCTGCTAGTTAGCCAGTCAATAAGTTGGTGGATCAATCAGTTGATCAGCTAGTCAGTCTGACAGTTTATCAGTCAGCCTAATACACAGTAAGTCAGCCAGTCAGTCTCTTAGTTACATGTAGGTACTGTAGTTCACCATCCAATAGTCAGTCAGTCACAATCAGTCAGACAGAAAGTCAACCAGACAGGTACAAGTCAATCATTCCGCCTGTCTGTTGCAAGATTAGCCAGATGCTGTGTTTTTTGATGAAGATGCTTCAGTTGTGGGTTGTCTTCTCTAATAGAATTGCTACCCAGCATCAGCTTCCAAGCTCATCCAGTGGTGATAAGAACTATGGCAATTTGGTAAGACTTCACTTTGGAATTTCACTTTCTGGAACTTAACAATTCCCCACACAGCTTCATGCTTTCTTGTATCAATTTTCTTTCCCAGATACATGCTAATTTATGTATCTGGTGACTTGTTTCTTTCCAAAATTACAAATCAGACTGTCAACTGTGACAACAGACAACGAAAAGTGACATGGAAATCAACCTTGATCCACAGAACATTGATACACTACATGTCTGGGGTAGATTTCAAGTTTATGTCCGACATGCACTGATGCTACATGAACTAAATCAGTGGCATCACACATTTGCTACCTTGGAATTAAAACAAAACTTGGCTTATTAAAGAACTTGTCTACCTGGTTCAATCAACAGCTAGATTGCAAAGGAAAACTAACATCTTGAAAGAGATCTGCTTGAAGCTTGGTCCATTTGTTCACCCATCAGACATCTGACCTGGAGAAAATAAGATATATTCTTACTGATAAGTGTTACGCCAAATAGGAGTGAGGCTTAGTTCTTCTTACAAGTACATTTATTCAATATTTGGACCACCACTACTACCAATGCGCCAAGTACTCCCATGAAAAACCTCTTACTTAATGTGCAACATTTGTCAATCAAGAAACAAACTTTTATTTTCACTCTCAACAAATATTTACTCTTTACACAATTTTTTCTTTCCTCAAGCCATCTTTTGACCTTGAAATCCAAATTTGAAACAGTTGGTTGATCTAAAGGTACTGTATTCTTCACCTATAAGCCAAGTGATTTTTTCAGTATTTGACACAAACATTTGGGAGATTTTTTCACAAGAAACTGGGTTTGGCTTATAGCTGAGGGTTTGGGATTCAAAAAAAAGTACAAATTTACCGTTAATGCAAAATGACCATAAATTCTGTGACTGCAGCGCTCTTTTTTTTCTTTTGTGTATATTCCATTCATTAGCTGTTCCCAATTTTTTCCATTAGGTTCGCTCACTCAAATGGCCTGTTACAATCAAGAATTTTGCTCTGGGCTTATACCTGATGGTTTTGCTTTTTCTCTTGGACAACGCAAGTCTGTTGGAAGGTCTCTAACTTTTAGGGTCATGGCTTATAACTGAGATCGGCTTATAGGTGAAGAAATACAGCATATAGTAACCTTGATCCCATGCAAGTCTGCTAGTCACTTTGTCAGTGACTATAACTCAAGTGACTATAGTGACATTTTTTATCATATAGTATAGGGTTGTAGCTACAAAATTTGAGTGCTGGCTTAAATTTCAAGTGTGGAGGCTCAAAGATGGCACCTCACAGTTAGTACTTTTCCCTTATTTTTGTTGCAATTTACCAAGTGACGACTGAAAAATCCAGGCAGTCAACAAACTCTTGAATTATTTACAATTGAAATATAGTTTGTCAACTTTCCTATTGAATTACATCATAGTAGAAAATGTTAGCTTAACAACTGAAGGTAAAATGTCCTTTTAGAATGAATATTTAAAAATATTCATAATAATGTAATATTTATCATTATGTAGTTCGTTTTTCAGAGCAGATGAAGGCATGGGTAAAACTACAGATCACCGGGCCACTTAGTAACCTATCACTGAATCACACTATTCTGCCTCATTCACCAAAGTATGCCAACAATATGGACCTCAGTCAGGCCCTGTGTTCTGTAGTTGCTCCCAGATATACTTATGTACGGCGATCTTTGAAAGCTTTTTTCTAGGTATTCTGCAGTTACTACAAGTTTAGCAGAAATATCACAGTAAACGTAAAATCACAAGCTTACCTTCATACAAAGATGCCTCTTTGCATGTCATTCTGATCCCAGCATGGACGCTTGCAAACCACAAAAACACATAAAACCAATGCTCTAAAAACAAGAACAACGACGGGTCTGCTTCTGATGACTTACACAGAAGCAAAACTACTTGGAAATAAGGATAACCAATCCTTTCAATTTCTTGAAGACAATTTTTCAGGAACACGTGCAAAATGGCCGACTTAAGTTACGCCTGAAACTTCGCTTAATCTCGTTCCCAGGATCTTCCCGATGTAGAAATCCAACATGGCGGAAAACGAGAGCTGGGACAGTTGATAATTTCCAGAGCTGCGCAACACGTGGTCGTCAAGAACAACGTTGGTTATAGCTATGCACGTCTTAACCAAGGGAAAGATTAAATGTAAAATAACAGTATGCGCGAAGAAGCCCGCACAGCACTTCATAGACTACAAACAAAGAGGCGCGCAAGGCCGCGCGCCAAAGCACGCCGTGTTGAGCACTTTGCAATTGTTTAGCGCTGTCTTTCTGCTTCAAGATTTAAACCGTTTCTTTGGAAGACTTCTTGAGCGTTTCGAGACTCGATTCCTGATTATTGGAAAACACGAAAGTTGAACACTGAAACTCGAAACCCAAAAACTCGTTCTCGAAAACTTCGAGAGTTTGAGTCGAGACTGTTAGATGTTAAATCAGTTCCTTTGAAGTTCAGTGAAGGGATATCTGAGCACAAACTACACGCGATAACTCAGCTAGTATTATTTAAACATTAATTTTAAACTTCTAAGAAGATTTCCTTTACTGTTATTTGTATACTCTTTAGTTGTAAATAAGTTATAGAAAACAGGATACATGTAAGCTCTTACAAACAAAACTTCTGTATTTATTGCAGTAAACTCTGCATGTTGGAAAAATATTTCAAACTTGTATAGATTCACTGGTTAAAGATTCTCAGTAAAGTTTCAACACCATCAGATATCCAGTCTCCAGTAATTCAGTGAATGATAGCCTTATTGTTTTGTTAATAACTAAGACTGAAGTCATTACAAAGGAAAGATTTACAACTGTACTGACACCACAAAAATTTTTTGGTCAAATAACCTTTATTTTGCTTTGAGTTAACAACACTACAACGTGGTTTAATATTTTAATCAGTCTTAGTGTGATGTAAGTTTTTATATTTCTCAGGAAAATCTAAGAGTATCTGTTTCATTTAAGATTAAACGATAAGTTATTTTAAACTTTAAATATTATGATTGAGTCTCCTTGGTTTCATTCTCTTCTTTTTGAATCAGAGGCTTGAGAAGTTCAGCTCGTTTATGGATGTCCACTTCTTTGGACTGTTATGGAGAAGAAAAAAATAATTTTATGTTTGTCGTTATTTTGAAGGTTTCATCGCAAGAGAAATTTTTTCACTGTGGTTAAGACGCTACGTAAAAAAAAATGGGTAAAGTTATTTTCAGTGGGGCCTTAAACTATTGGAAAAATTGAAGACGACTAGAAAAATCATCCAAGATTCGATTAAGTTCGTAATTTTAATTCTTTAGAAACTATTATTACGAAACTATTACTACGATTTTAGAATGCAACTGAAGGACTACAAGAAACGATTACGCAAAAAGATACGTTTCCAACTGGTTTCTTATTTTAGAAATTGATTATGTTTGTTTCTGTTGGTTCATTTGATGCCGTTGAAATATCGAGTTAATCACATTTGCAACAATAGAAAAGCATCACTTTGCGCACATTATTTTTCTAGGAGCTTGGTGTTACTCACAATCTTGACTTTTAATCATGGGATTTATCGATGGGCTGTGATATTCCCTTTATTTTTTGAAGGAGAGAGGTGTTATATTCAGTTCAAGTGTTTACACCAGGTCGTAAACAGTTGTCAGTATTACACGCGCGGTTTGTAAGTAAACGGGCATTTGGCCGAGATTGATCAGGAAGCCTTAGACATCGAAAATCAATTTTCTACAATCTGCCTTCGAGTTAATTTTTGCTCAGTTTTCAGGAGAGCATGTAGAAGCTTTAATATACTGAACTTTAAATTAAGTTCCTCACCTGTTCATTGCAGATGGTACTCGCAATCTGATTGGCCCTGGCCAGAAGTGATCCAAAGGTTTTCATGTAGTACACGCGCTTGCGCTTGTATGCGATACTCCTCAGTTCGCCTCGGTACGCGCGGCCAATGCCGATCGCGTAAACCTGGACGCCCTTTCGTACGAACCTCGAGGCCATGCGCTTGACTGCGTATGCGTGACGGCGACTCGGTGGACCGCCTGTGATTACAACCAAAACACGCTGGATGTAAGTTGGTTCGTTAGCATAAAAAGTGTCATACGCGGCTTGTAACGCCAGATCTAAACGTTTCCCTCCTCGGTTAATGTGTGGCGCTTGATCAACTGCACGTCGGACGGCTGTGGGAAGGAAAACGAATTCATTGTAAGCGAACGTGTGAGGTGAAGAAAATTTAATGTATAGAATTTAGGCTAATTCTCTGTCTTTTAAACAACCCATTCTGAAGTGAGGGCCTAAATAAGAATGTTTAACAAGTGAGAAGTCAAGCAAACAAAAGGGAAAGACAAACTGATTAAGTATGCAGAATGTCCACTTATGAGCAAACATATTTTTATCAGTGTCAAAAAAAAAAGGCAAACTGTGGGAGAAATCATAATATCGTGTTTAATACACCTTCAGAAAAATAACCGCCTGATTCCAGATCAAAATGATGTCTACATAATGAGGTAACTTCGTGCGGTGAACACCGAATCTTTCTGAAGGAAAGCGCGAAACATTTTCAAAATTGGTGAAGTTATGAAGAGACCCCCAAAAATGCTAGTTACAACTTGAATAGAGTATCAAGAGTAAGACATACCAAATAAGGAGTTGAACTGTCTGAACCTCATTCTCAGTGAAGGCAGGTTGGCGTATGTGATGAGACCGATGCGAGACTGGTGCTTAGTGATGGTGAATTTGCTGGACACAGCCTTGACAAACGCCTTCTCCAGCTGGAAGTTAGCACGGGAAACTTCATTCGACGCGTCCACCACAAAGGCAAGATCCAACGTGACCGGGCAGGTCTTGGTAGGGGCTGGGTACGATAAAAAAACAAGTACGTCAAAAAACGACAGTCTGATGTACAACATCGACTAAGTCCCTATCTTTGATCTCGCATAACATGCTTTAAATTTTGTTTTGAGATTTCAATCCAATATCTAACCGCTGTTAAAGGACTTCAGCCTTGCTATACACCAAGCCTAACTTTTTTTTAACCCTTCTAAAACAGTGTGTATCAGAAAATTAACCCTTTGATTCCCGAGAGTGACTCTTCACAGTATCACGCCTGAATCACATTTAAGGTCACGTGAAGAAAGGAAATGATCATCAAATAAAGAAGCTCTTGATTGCGAAACAAATTCTCTTTGTCAGCACTATAGGAAAGGTATATAGAACAGTATAGAGAATATGTATACTGATTTTAGAGTGGGAAGGGTCACGAGGATGTTTTACGGATGGGCTCGCTGCCTTTGAGTCGTTTACCTTGTACAAATTTTTCCTCACCGAAAAGGCAAAAATAAACCAAAACATGACATATTAAATGTTGAAGAATGAAGACGATTAAGAAATATCGCAAACGACAAACTAGCATGGTATAAGGTTTAAGAGAAGCAGAGAGCGCCACTTCTTTGAGTTGCATGAAACTTACCTAGTGGTTTGATTGGCGGACGGATGGGTGGTCTGATGGGAGGCCTGGGCGGGAGTCTGGGTCGTTTGGTGGGTTGCACAACTGGTCGTCTTTTCTCAGCTGGAAATTAAACGAAACAACATACGTCAAGTTAGAACTTATCTTTTGCCTCGAAAGAAAGGATTTATTTTGACAAGAGGTTAATATGAGACGGTAGCAATGAAAATGAATTTTATCACAAAGCAACATTGGCTGAATAAACTCACATCTTCTCTCTCCGTAAAGCTCAAATCTCATGGAGATATGCCTGAACCATGTGCGAGGTTTGATTTTCACATATCGTGCGTAGATATGTGGCGTTAGAACATGCGCCACTATGCTGTTCCGGTCATTGTTGGCCGGGAAGACCTGGGGGAAAAGAAAATATTGATAATATGACATTTTTTATTGTTTTGGACTATGTGTGTAATGAGATTGAGTACTGAAAGTGGGAAGATTTAATGCTGTCGGTAGTGGTTAATAGCTAAGGTAGGACATCTTTCGAGGCCTTTTTTTAAATTTTACATTGGTTGCCTCTTTGTTTTCCAAAAATTTATGATGTCGTAGCACTGGATGGCAAATGACGCTCTAGCACATCCAAAACAAAGCAAGGCAAATCACTAAAGCTTAGACTTACTAAGTAGGACGTTCCACCGAAAAAATTTTAATAACATGGCAGAGTTTGTACCTAGCGATCGGCCTCTTCTATCGTTAAATAAAGAGGGTATAAGATGACAGTTTTCATCATCAGAAATCCAATTTGTCTAGGTGCCATTTCTTTTAATTTCTTCTACTCATGTAAGAGGACATACCTTTATTCGTCTACGCCTCGTGTAAGGTCGGAAGGTGTTTCCATTTCGGCTGTAGGTAATTATATAACTTGTCACCCATTGGTTCAAATCTTGTCGACCCTGTGTTAGGATTCGCTTGACAATAGTGAGCTTTTTGAGGTCCACCTTAGAAGAAGAAGAAAAAAGCCATGAGAAAACTGCCTCATAGGGCTGATCATTAGTTGCCACTCTGTGTTCAGATGAGAGAGAGTGTTCAGTGATAACATTTAGAAGAGAATATAAAATTTGGCAGTTAACTTTTGTTTCCGTAAAGTTCTTGTCAATATATGAATTATCCATCAACAGATAGCTCTGGCTGAGCAGCTCTCACCAACGAAAAGCTTTGTAATTCTTTTATATGAAATCACAAAATTTTTACTTATTTTATCGAGTTATCATTAGGGAACAAAAAGTATCATACAAATGCCTAGTGTCTTAACCCTTCACATCCTAGCATCAGTATGCACATTCTCCTCACATTTTTCTATGCAATTCCTATGATATTGATAAGGAGAATTTGTTTAAAAATCAAGAGTTTCCCAAGAGTGGAAGTCATTTCCTACATTCTCATGACTTAACTGTTTGATTCAACCCTGATACTGTAGGGAGAAATTGAATGCAAATCACTCCTAGGGTTTTAAGGGTTAGACAGCACTTTAAATCTTCTCCTCTGCGTAAGTCAGCGATATAAAACATAAAACGATATGTCAACGATATAAAATGTCATTTAAGAGCCAACTGAGACGGGTTTGGTGAAACTAACCATTATCCACTGGCGTCTGTTGTTCCTCTTTGCAGACCACGCCCCCTTGTTCTTGCCGTGTGCCACAGTGTTCAATCGTCCAAAGCGTGCACCGTGATATCTGTTCCACTCGGTGGACGCCGTTATGTAACGATCTTGGACCTTATGGTCCTCAATACCCAAAGGCAGATCTCTTCTCGCTGTGGAAAAAAACACAGTTGGTCACGCCCAGTCTTCACTTAAGTCAGTATTTACTGTCAAGGCTCAAACCAAGACGGTGGCCGCCATTTTCGTCGCCTACTTGTTTCTGAAGTGCCGGCTTCTTTAATAAGACGAAACCATAAAAAATCTGTCTTGGTCTAAAATAAATATTAACCTTTAATGTTTGAGCCACTCAATACAGCAAAAACGCACCGCTAAAAAAATCACCACTCAGTTGGTTTTCCAATTACTTGGCGCCGAAAACTCATTGAAATGATTGGCCAAGAAAACGTAACTTTACACATGATAATACTTACAAGCTTTTCCACCGTAGAACTCGATTCTCATGGAGATGTGGTTAACCCAGGTACGCGCGTACACACGGATGAACCTGGATCGGAAGGGTGGGTCAAAACTGTTTTCTTTGATAGAGTAATGATCACGGTTCCCTCGGAATACCTAAATAAAGGAAAGTAATCACGGGTTACTCATTTGTGTCCGCATTGTTTTGGTCTTCGGGACCTTCTACGTCTTTAACTCCCAGATGAGTTTTTTATCGCATGTAGAGGCTACATATTAACACGTGTAGCTTCTCAAATTACAACTTTTTCCAACAAACACGTGATCAGAGAGGACAATCTTGAACGATGTCGATATAAAACTACACTCCCTCCTTATTTTTTGTATTGGAATATAACGCAGCTGGCGGAGGGAATTATGAAATTGATCCAGGGAGTGATAGGGTTAAATGTCCGAGGAATGACATCTCTGCATTTGGGAAGAAGGTGCTCGCTGAAACCTCTTTTTGAAGCCCAGGGGTCTCTCGCTAAGATCAAGTGCTACTTTAGAAGCTAAGTCTGTCTGTCTGTCAGTCTGTCCGTCCGATTATCTGATTGTCTGTCAGTCAGTCTGTCTGATTGTCTGACTATCCGACTGTTTGATTGCCTGTGTGTCAGACCATCCGACAGTATTTTTGTTTAACTGTCTGTCTGACCATCTGACTATGTGAAAGTCTGACCTACCGGCTGTCTAACTGAGTAACTGTCTTTGTGACTATCTATCTAATTGTTTGAGTGTCTGACCAATTGGGTGACTATCTGACTGAATGTCTAACTGACTGACTGTTTAACTGAGTGACTGACTGTTTTACTAACTTTCGGATTGTCTTACCGTCTACTTGACTGTCTGACCGACTATGTATCTCTTTATCCGACTGTCTAACTGACAGTCTGTTCGTATGTCCGTATTTTTTCAATCCACCCCATTTTCAGTGTACTCTATGTGACATTACCTTAAGTCTTCCATTGACCTTGAACGGCGTCCATCGATATCCATCAGGACTGTAAGCCACAGCGAAGCTGGTTACGTACTGATTTGCATCACTTCTGCCTTGCGTGGCAATCTTGGAAATAAAAACAGGCCGTTTAAAATCAAACTGGATCCATTGTTTCCTGTTATTCTTCTTGGCGGACCATCCTCCCTTGAATCGTCCTCTTGGTTTCAGGTTCAGTCGCGCGAGATACGCGGCGTGATAACGATCCCACTCACTCGACGCCTTAATGTATTGATTTCCCAGCCGTCCCTTGGAGACTCCTAAGGCCTTCACGACAGGTTTACGAGCTATAACACAAAACAATGATAAATGTCAGCATTATCGTAAAAGATAATTTGTTTTAAGAGTATTCTAACCTCAAACTGGACCAGTTGGTTAAATTACAGGACTACAGAAATATGTGCTTATGGCTTCACCTAAGTTTCAGACTATGAAAGTCGCGTTGATGCTATATCAAGTGCAGCTTGCCTGTGGACTGAGAAAAAAGCACTATTGATGTAGTCGATTCCAGAATATCTTGTCTCTAACAGATATACAGTGGGAGCCTTATGTGTGCCTGTCTTGATAATAAAATAAAAGAGCTCTTACCAAGGCGACGTCCGTAAAGCTCGACTCTCATGGAGATGTGCCTATGCCACGTGTATGGTACCACACGGACGTAGCGCGCTCTACGAGGCCGCGCAAATCTGTGCCTTACAATAGTATTCCTATCGCGGTTACCAGTCAATAACTGAAAAAAGAAAGTATAAGGCACATTGATTGATGAGGCAGTAAAAGGAGAGGGAGTTCTTGGGAAAATACTTTTTCTCCTTACAGTGATGGATACTCACCACAGCTCTTCTACGCATTTGGTACCATCGCCAGCGAACGCCATCCCGACTAGACATGACTCTGTAGGTCTTCACCCACTGTCCCAGATCTTGCCTTCCTTGGGTCGCTATTCCGTACACCACCGCTTGGCAGCCAACATCAATCTGCAGCCACTGATGACGGTTGTTAGCACGCGCTGACCAGGCACCTCTGTATCTGCCCCTCCTCTGAGTATTCAGGCGGCACTGGTGCGGCCCGTGGTACCCATCCCATCGTGAAGATGAACTCAGGGCGCTATCTGGGATACGGCGGTCTTCAACTCCAAGGGGAAGCCTATTTTTGACTGAAATATTGAAAAGTTACACAAGACTCAATTAGGGCTTGTTTTTTTTCTGGGTCTATAAAATTCCATCATTCGAAACGAATTATTTCTTGAGTTTATTGTCTGCTGTGATTGACACTCACATCACAGTAGCTTTTCTACTAATCAGAAGGTATTCCTCTCTTGTTGATTTCTGTTCTTCGCTTGTCACGGTGGCCGGATGCGAGTTGAGAATACTTTTTGAAAACATTACTTTTAAGGAGTGGAAAGAGCGCGGAGAGAACGCGGAGAGAGGGCGGAAACAGCTTGGAAAGAGCGTGGAAATAGCGTGGAAAGAGCGTGGAAAGAGCGTGGAAAGAGCGTGGAAAGAGCGTGGAAAGAGCGTGGAAAGAGCGTGGAAAGAGCGTGGAAAGAGCGTGGAAAGAACGTGGAAAGAGCGTGAAAAGAGAAACGATTTTCTGGGTTTGGAAGTAACAAATAAATTGTAAACATGATAAGCTTTCGCGACGTTCTTCACGTCGGAAAATATAACATCTGAGACTCAATCACTGGTAGTCTTGGATATTATTTCAACTGATAACTGCTATTATTCTATTTCTCACCAGCATTGCGACCATACAACTCTATTCTCATGGAGATATGTTCGCGCCACCTGGCGGGTCTAACACGAATAGATGTCGCTCGTATGGCGGGTTGAAGATAATGGCGAACAACTGAGTTTCTGTCTCTGTTGGCCCGGAACAGCTGTAAATGTACATAGGGGATCGGTAAAAAAGCTCTTGTTCAAGCTAACTCATGATAAACTTATGTCAGATATAAAGTATAACCTTGGCTCATTTAACAGTAATCCAGAAGTCTTTATTTATTCTTCCTTTTTAAGGGAAATCCAAGACGTCAATATTCCATTGGAGTGTTAACCTTCTCACAAATGTACTTTGGTTTAGTTCAGAGAAGCAAGGAGAGATGTGAATTTTGAGTAAACCCTTAACACCCTCATATCAGTATCCATACTCTCCACACTGTTCTCTCGACATTTCCTATTCTACTGACAAACACAATTTGTTCAATAATCAAGAGCGTCTTTAGTTGGTGATCATTTCCTTCATTCTCGTGACCTAAATGTTTGATTCAGGTGTGATTAGTAATTATGAAAAATTAGTTGCTTGTCACTCTTACGGTTTGAAGGGTTAAAAATAGAACACATGACCCATTTTCCTCTTCCTCTATACATTTTCTTCGTCCGTCTTCGACGAGCGGCTAATTTCTCCACACGGTATCACCCCTGAATCAATCACTAAGGTCATGAGAATAAAAAGAAAAATGACCACCATCTAAAGAAGTTCTGGATTGTTAAACAAATTCTCCTTGCCACACCTTAGGAAATGTATAGAGAACAGTATGGAGAATATGCATACTGATGTTAGAGTGTTAAGGGTAAAGGCTTCAAACCCACCTAGGTAAGCTATACTCCTTATTGAGACTAAACCAGCGATTTACAGATACCGATCTATAACAAACCTTAGTGACGCCAAGTTGTTTGTAGTACACGTAGTGGATCTTATCCATGCTGTAGGTCAGTCGATAACTGATCACCCATTGGTTCCAGTCCTGTCTGCCCTGCGTCGCAATAGCCACGATTTTCTTGGGGTACCTGAACGACACCTGTAACCACTGGTAGCGGTCATTAACACGTGAGGACCACGCCCCTCGGAAGCTGTGACACGAATTGTTGAAAGAAATCGTCAGATCGGTAACAATTCCAAAAAAGTTAACTTCGAGTATTTTCTCAGGAACCATTTTCAGAAACTGCGTTTCTGACTGTTGACTTGTATCAGCCAATGTTTGTAATGTTACCCTGTATATCTAAAAGTACCCTCGGATTTCTCGAGCCCCATGTTTTTCCGGCTCATTTACGGAGGTGGATTAAGTCAATGAAACACTATAATTTACTCTGTGTATCAAAACATAGCTCTGGATTTCGAAAGCTTCCTGTTCTACCCCCCCCCGCAATCCTCACCTACAGAGGTGATCACAAGTCAGGACAACACTGTAAAATTTAGCCTAGAAATCCTGAATCCTCATATTGCGCCATTTGTAATACGCCTCAGGATGTTAGGAATAATAGATAATAAATAATAAAATACGTCCTGTTTCATTGATATTTGACCTGAGTGTAAGAACACGACAATGATATTTACCTTCCTTGTCTCTTGATATAAAGCCTCGCTCTCCAGGCAGCATGATACCTGTCCCATACTGACGAGGCACTCACAGCGTTATTTCTGATACGACCGCTTTGCATTCCAAGAGCTTGCAGACGAGGCCTTATGATTCCTGAGGGATAATTAACAACTTTTAAAGAAGAACAATTTTAGATTTTATAGGATACACGTCATAATTTGTGTGACCAAAAAAATGTACCTAGCTTTTTTTTCAAGTTCTTCAACTGCAACCATTTTAATCCTTTGTAAACTTAACAATCTACGTGCAGCTTTGATTTATTCCTGCTTATTTAGCGATTGCCTATCTTTGTTGATTTCTTTACTTTAAAAGAAACTTCCCCGTTGAATGATAATGTATTAGTCGATGTACCAAGCAACTCGTAGTAACTCGAGAGATGAGTAAGAAATTCTAAAAGTATATTTCGCATTTGGAAATATACTCTTCTAATCAAAGCATCCTAAACTACTTACCAGGTCGGCGACCATAGAAGCCAACTCTTATTGAGATATGCCCGTACCACGAGACTACAACAATTCTAATGTAACGTGCGCGGATTGGTGGACGTAATGGATGTGTTACAATACTGTTTCTATCGCTGTTGCCACGGAATATCTGAGGAGTGGGTTGAAAAGAGTTTGTGCTTTAAAAATGGTTGTCTCACTCCAGCAAGTCTGAGCTTTACACAGAGTAAAAGGACAAACTTTGAAATATTAGGAAAACCGATAAAATATTGAGAATATGATTTCTTTTTGGAGCGTGTCTTCTTAAATACTGCACTGAGATGTCGTTGCAAGTGCATAAAGGAGTTACTTGCGATTAATTATTAAAAGTAAACTAGTATTACTTTGATTTTGCTTCACTACGCTCTTTAATTTCCTTGCCAAACTGTCATCACTTAAACATTAGGAAGCAAAGCTCAGACCTGTCTCCATATAATCACTTGCACTTTCCAGAACTTTGGGCCGTTTATCTGTCTTTACTTTGAGCTCTCATTGACTCATGTTCATTGGCTCATCTGTCTTTGATTTAAGTTCTCATTGGCTCATGCTTTAACTAATCGTTGTGATTGGTTTAAAGCACTCTCAATGAGCAACCATGCTAATTTTGTCTCAATTTACTACACTACTCCGAAAAGCGCCCCACCAAAAAGAATCTTCTAATTGCTCACTTAGAATGTCGTGAATAGCTGATTCCCAAACAAAAAATCCCAGTTACCACTGCCTTTCTTCTATACACACTCACCTTGACGCGCCCTCCTTTCTTATAAGGTATAAACCGAACTCCGTCGTTTCCAAAGTAAACCTTATAACTTGTGACCCATTGGTTATAATCCTGACGTCCCTGTGTCCTGATCGCCGTAATCAAAGTTGGTTTACCCAGATTAAACTGCAGCCATTGTCGTTTGTCATTCTTCTTTGCTGACCACGCTCCCTTATTTCGCCCTCGCGCTTTGTTATTAAGTCGACCCAACCATGGGGCGTGGTAACGGTTGAATGTAGAGGAAGATGTGATGTACCCATTAGGAATCTTACCATCTTCGACACCAACTGGCACCGAGTTACGAGCTGCATTAGAAAGTGATAACATTTGAGTACTGGAAATCCCAAAAGGATCTATAGCAACTTTGAAATTTTCCGAGCGACTAAACAGAGTGTTTTACAACCGTTCTGATTGTGCAGTAAAATCACCCTATCTTTACTCTTTCTTATTTATTTTTCCATAGCTTCCGACACATTTTTGTGACTTTCCCAAGACTTTTTCCATACAATTTGTTTCATTTTCCAAGCTAAAAGTTATGAGTCAAATTACAAGAGTTGTGCAGAATAATTATTGACACGTATTTAACCCAAGAGTCAAGAAATCCCCCATGACGCCATGAGACGTTTCCGCCTCCTTATTCTTTTATACTAAGGCCCAGTTTGCAGCAGTTTGAGAAAAACTTTAAACTTCAGGTCTAAAAAACTAGTTAACAAACCTTTTTGTTTTTTTAAGAACTGAACACATTGGCACGAACGGAGATTCGAGAAGTTCACTCAGTAATGTATTTGATACGAACCTTTTATCTATAAGAAGATACTTAACTTACACCATAATCTGGTAATTAAACCAGCTTAAATTTACTAAAATACTCACAGATTTTCCTGACATAGAACTCAGCTCTCATAGAGACATGTCCTACCCATGTCCAAGGGTGGATACGCACGTATCGCGCCCTGAACGACGGAACAAATAAGTTCTCCTTGATCGTATTTTGGTCTTTGTTTCCTGGGAAAATCTGAAAATGAAACAACAAAACCATCCATTGGCTGAAATTCTACAGAAATCGGCCACAAGTCAAAATGCTAGGAGACTATAATGTTTGTATATGATAAACAGCGAAGTTCAAAATGAAACAGGTTCCGCATTAGATATTGAAAGAGGGAGTTATTGAGACTGAAGTATGATGAAATCAAAATGATAGTTTTACTTTGGATTAGAAATTTAATTGTTCGACTCGAGGTGGGGATTATATTTCATGACTAGAATGATTCTTAAAATGCTCACAAATTCTTTCAAACGACATTTCAGATGCAGTTGTATGAAAAAATGGTACCAATAATAACCAGGCGAATTCCCAGTCGAACCAAGCAGCAAAAAAAGAAAGAAAAAAGGAAAAAAGAAAACTTGAATTCGCGCAAATAAACACGGGTAGGGAAACTATTTCTACAGTCGATAAAAACTACTCTGGTTAAAAAACATTTATTAAAAAGGTGTCACAGCAATTACCTTAACCCTTCCATATTTCTTGTACCGTATCCACCGATATTTATCTTGACTGTATGAAATAAAGAAGCTTGTCACCCACTGTTTGTAATCATATCTTCCTTGTGTCAACACTTTGATGACCTCACTTGGTCTCCTCAAATCATACTGGATGAACTGACGGCGGTTGTTCTTTCTGGCCGACCAGCCTCCTCTGTATCGTCCTGTGACACGCTGATGTAACCTGGCCCTCCATGGCCCGTGGTATTTGTCCCAAGAACTAGAAGCGGTGATGTAGCGCGCTCCGCGCTTTCCACTTGGAATACCGCTGGGTCTGACGGGAGCCACGCGAGCTAGAGTGAATCAAGAGATAAAAAAAAATTGAAGAAAATCATAGCCCTACCATTTAGAGAGAATGTCCGGAGCAAGTTCAATTATATCTAAGACCAATAAATCTACTGTCAAATTCGTACTCTTTAGACATTCCGGAACGTTTCCAGACTTTGAATGTTTTGTATCACCTAAGATGGATAATTTGATTTCAACAAAAAATGTGGAAATTAACATTCAATTCAGATCAATATTTCTTAATTTCATGTTCTCAGAACAATCATTATTCATCAGTTTCCCATAAGATAAATGATGACAACAGATAATATAAGGTCAGGTGTCAACTGACATTTAGAACAACTCGTGCAAGTCAATAATGAGAATCACAAGTTATGAGAAATTTCAATGACTGAAAGCTTACCAAGGAGATATCCGTAGAGTTCGACTCTCATAGAGATGTGACCATGCCAACGTACTGGGTGGAATCTAACAAAACGTGCAACGATTGAACGCCTGAAAAAGTTCTTCACAACGGTGTTTCTGTCCTTGGCACCAGGGAAAATCTGTAAACGAAACAATGGAAGACATAACTAACTCATAAAAGTAGTCCTATTTTCCACTTTGTGATTTCTAAATTCATTGTCTGCAAACGCACAAGTGAGACGTTTGACTAAATTCAATATTTATTACTAAGGGTGTTTTATGATTATTTGAAACGACATCAGATGAAAATATACCTTTGGAGTCCTTCTTTCTGAGTAAAATCGGAAATTAATTCCATCCCTGCTGTATGATATCCTTAGACTCGTCACCCATTGGCTGTAGTCCTGTCGACCTTGCACAGCAAACCCAGCCACGCGTGCTAGTTTTGTTATGTCAACACATAGCCACTGAGCAGGATTATTAGCACGCGAAGACCACGCCCCTCTCAATCGTCCCTGTCGAGGTATGTTAAGGCGTGCCCGTTTAGGGCCATGGTTCCTATCCCAGCTCGATGAAGCACTGAGACTTCCATCCGGGATTCGACGGTCCTCGACTCCAAGAGCCAACCGAGTAGGCACTGGTGAGAAGCAAGTTGGCACGTAAAGCAACTTTAAAGTTTAGAAATCTAATTGCTTTTAATTTTGAGCAATAAGGATGTCATTAAATACTGGTACGAAAAAAAAGAATAGTGCAGATTAGATTTAGATGTATCATACCTGCAGTTCGTCCATAGAATTCAACCCTCATTGAGATGTGATTAACCCATCTGACTGGATGAATGCGGACTTTACGCGCCACTACCGCTGGCCTCAATGAGTGCATTACTATCGTGTTTCTGTCTCGGTTTCCTCTGAAATACTTAAAATTGAACAAGAGAAGTGAGCGTCAAATCAAGAGAACTTAAAATGTCTAAAGTTCAGCCACGCAAAAATTGCAAACTACAGAAAAATAATAATTTGATAATCGGAGTAACGAGAAATTTCCTTCAAACTCGAGCGAAACTGTACGAAGGAGCTCAGAAACAAAACAAAAAAATTAGAGTCAGCTTTGTGAAATCACAATTTTTTTTCGCTCACAAGCTGCTGCATCACAAACCTCGGTTAATTTAATTCTAAGACTAACCTTTTTCTTTCCGTTCTTGCGGTATGTAGCAAAATAAGTACCGTCTACACTGAACCGCAAATAGTACAGCGTCACCCATTGGTTGTAGTCATGTCTGCCTTGGGTTGCCACGGCAACGACCTTCTTTGGGACTCTGAGGTCCACCTGCAACCACTGCTGATGGTTGTTTACCTTTGCGCACCAGGCCCCTGCATATCGCCCTCGCCTAGGCCGTTTAAGCCTGGCTAACCAGGCAGCATGGTACCTATTCCACCGAGACGAGGCTGAGATTGCACTATTGCGGATTCGACCGTTTTGAAGTCCTAGGGGCTGGGGAGCTGGTCTTCTGACACCTGTGGAAAAGGAGGGAAATATAAAGACAACCACAAAAATACAAAGTAACCCAAATGAGTACTTGACCAAGTCAAGCTCTGATGACTACTCAGTCCAACGAACATCTAATTTTGAACAGATTCCTTACCACTCCTCTGTCCGTAGAGCCCAATCCTCATGGAAATATGGCCATACCACGTGATAGGATGAAATCGGATGAATTTTGTGTATGGAGGGCTGCGGAGCCTATGAGACACCTGACTGTTACGATCTCTGTTTCCTGGGAAAATCTAAAATGGAAGATATACAGGAAATACGTTTGTTTATTCGTATTTCTCCACAGTTTGTTCTTTGCTCCTTTCTTCTTTGCAGGAAATTCATTCAGAACTTAAAGTATTCGTTGCAGTGGCTCTGATAGATAGCATCTGCTATTTCCGATTATCACAGTACAAATTTTCACGATTAAAAGAACTGCTATAAGCCTGGACACAAGTGTAAACTTTGATATAGACGGGGTATATGAAAAACTAAGAAGTTGTGAGAGACACACACAGACATAGAAACAGACAGAGTTTTCCTTATGAGTTAAAACTTAAAGGTTCAGTAGGTTGATTCAGACTTTAGATTTTATCCGACTTTTAACGATACCTTAACTCGGCCATTTTCTCGGTATGGACGGAAACGGCGCCCATCCAAGCTGCTCGAGAGGCTGTAAGTAATCACCCACTGATTGGCATCCTGTCTACCTTGAGTAACCACACCAGTTATTTTAGTTTTTCGGCCCAGTTTGATCTGTAACCACTGACGTCTGTTATTCTTCTTTGCAGACCACGCCCCTCGGTAGCGTTTGGTAGCCACAGAGTTGAGTCTGGCCCGATTAGCTCGGTGGTAAGTGTCCCACTGACTGGAGGCCGTGAATGCTCTGTTTGGTATCTTGCCATCTTCTGAGCCTATCTCCAGACCGGTCCGAGCTGTTGGAAAAAACAAATACAGCGAAATTTAGTAACATCTTTCAGTGGGAACAAACCGGGGAATTGTCACTGGGTTTGTACAATACTTACGCAGGGAGAGTCCGTAGAACTCCGCTCTCAAAGACATATGTCCTACCCAAGCAAGTGGATAAATACGAACATATCTCGCTCTTATTGGCGGATCAAAAACGTTCGATTTGACCGAATTGCGGTCCTTGTTTCCAATAAACACCTGTTGACATGATCGAACAAAAATTTAGTAAGTAATTCAGCTTATACTCCATTAAGGGTCTTAAATAATATTATCTATGGGACAATGAAGTAGCAGCAATAAAACCGTAAACCGCTGTATGCGTCCAGATCTGGATTAGTTTCTTATTACAATAAAAATAGTTCTTTTCAAGAGAAAAACGTTTTTACTATACCTGCACTCGACTGTACTTCCTGTAAGGCGTCCAATGGAAGGCATCCGCGCTGTATTTGATAATATAACGTGTCACATACTGATTGAGATCTTGTCTTCCCTGCGTGGCGACCTTCACAATCTTTTTCGGCCGCCTCAAGTCATACTGTATCCACTGTCCTCTTCTGTTGACCTTAGAAGACCATCCGCCGATGTAGCGACCACGCTTCTTGTTGTAGAGCCGTGCCAGCCAGGCGGCGTGGTACTTATCCCAGATGCTAGACGCTGTTATGTAACGGTTGTTGAGGCGGTTGTTGGAGATTCCAAGAGGTTTAGCGACTGGAAGTGGTCCTTTTAGGTAAAAAATTGAGAATCTCAAATAAGTAATTGAACCACAGACCTACTGATTTGTACATAAACGGCATCTATATCATCTCACGTGTTATTCCAACTTACTCAGATATTTTCCGTACAACTCCACCCTCATTGATATGTGTCCGTGCCAGGACAGAGGATAAATACGAACACACCGAGCTCTGATTGCAGGGACAAGAGCATTTCTCACCACGGTGTTTCTGTCTCTGTTACCGCGGAAGATCTGAAGATGAAATCATCGTGCATGAAAAACAGTTGGGGTTTGTGTAACTAATAAAAAGCGCAAACACTAAACGAAAGTGCTTTGTACTTAGACTTTCATCAAAATCAGTTGCACGTTCCAATTGAAAATTTTGCCTATATGAGCTAAAATGAGGTCAGTTTTACAAAGGGACTTTTTTAACTGAAAAGAAATACCGTGTTTCTTTTTCATGCAAGTACAATAATTTTTACCCATCGACTAGGGAAAACCTTCACATTGATGTTTTAATAATGAGTGGTAGAGAAAAACAAAACATAGTTATGTTAAAAAGATTCTTAATCCTTAACGAGAGAAACTGGCTTCTAATTTTCTCCTTGCAGTTTCACCCTTGAATCAAATATTAAGGTGATGAGAATAAAGGAAATGATCACCAACTAGGGAAACTCTTGACTGTTAATCAAACTCTCCGTGTCAGCACCTCAGGTAATATAAAGAGAACAGTAGGGAGAGTATGCATACTGATGTTTGGGTGTGCAGGGTTAAATACACCAAAGCAACTTTGATGTAATCTTACCCCTCTTCGTCCTGAACCATAGTTGGTAAATCTTACTCCATCGTTGCCATATTTCACTGAATAACTTTTTACCCACTGGTCGTAATCTTGGCGACCCTGGACAGCAATGGCCACAACCATTGCTCGTTTACCAAGGTCAACCTGTAAAGAACCAATTTGTTATGTTAGAGAAGCTTAACATCCAGAACACAAGAAGGATTTTCAAGTGCGACGTGTCCTGCTCTAGCGTCGTTCTCGCAGTTCATAGCATGTCTAATCGTTTTAAGAAAAATGCTTAGAGCAACTTTTAATTGAGCATTGAAAGTAAAGTGAGATTACAATTGTTTTGCTGAACTTCGCTTTGTGATTGGTCCAGACAACACGCGCCATTCTCTCAACCAATCATATGCAAAACTAAAACCAAGGACGCGTTTCCCCGCGCTCTTAAAAATATTTTCCTTTCTTCTGATTGGACGTTGTGATTTTTCGGTTTTAGTCTCACGACACGCAATCGAAAAGCGCTCTATCAACTTTTCATTTCAAGACTTCAAAGACTAACCTGTAGCCACTGTCCTCTGATGTTTTTCTTTGCTGACCAAGCTCCACGGAAGTGTCCCTCTCTGCATATATGAAGTCTTCCACGCAGAGCGGCGTGATAACGGTCCCAGAAACTTGAGGCGCTCATGGCACTGTCGCGTATTCTCTTATCAGCCACACCGAGAGGAAGTCTTGATGCAGCTGCAAATATAAGAAGACCGCATACGCTTTAAAGGAATAATTCAAGAGACTCTCTACCTTCGCTTCCCCCTTCGAGATAAAAAAAAAATCGCTGGCTCGCCGTTATGAGATTTTCCTATAAAAAAGCGTACAAAAAGTACGGCGAGTGCGAATGATTCAAATTTTTTCAACAAACTTCGCCAGTGTACCGATATGAATTGTAGCATATTACTTAACTAAAAGATGTACTAGATCTAAAATCCTTACAGGTTCTGTGTCCATAGAATTCGACCCTTAGAGAAATGTGTCCTCTCCAACTGACTGGATGAATTCGGATAAAACGCGCACGGATTGCGGGAGAGAGTCGCCGTCTTACAATTGTGTTTCTGTCTCTGTTTGCACGGAATATCTGGCAAAAAAAAAAAGAAGACATGTTAGATCTTAAGTACTATTAAAAATAAATTATCTTCATAGGGCAGATTTGATTTCTAGAAAGCAGTTACAATAGGTCTGCTCTAGTAACCTCTAACCATTATTAAGTTGTAGGTGTCATTTGTAAAAAATACAATTACAACAAAACGCACTCCCTTATACTGCAAGACAATCGTCTATGAGTGACAGTTTTTAAAAAACCAAATGGTTATTATAGACTAAAACTCGAACAAGAGCAGAGATTAAGGTTTTTTTTAATCCTAGGAGTGACTTGCGTCTAACTTCTCCTTACAATATCACCCCAGAATCAAACATGAAGGTTGCGAGAATAAAGGAAATGATCATCAACTGAAGAAGCTCTTGATTGTTAAACAAATTCTCCTTGTCAGCACCTTAAGAAATGTATGGAGAACAGTATGGAGAAAGTGCAAACTGATGTTAAGGTGTGGATGGATAAAGGATGACGGTCAGGAAGAATTTTGTTGAGACCCACCATCCGTAGGGGACAAGAAGTTTCAATAATTTACCTTCCGACACAAGTAAGGTACAAAGTTGATTCCATCAAAACTGTAGGTCAGGTAGTATCGCGTCACCCATTGGCTGAGATCTTGCCGACCCTGAGTAGCGACAGCTAATATCTTAACAGGTTTCCTGAAGTCCACCCGAATCCATTGGTAAGGATTGTTATGTTTTGCTGACCACGCTCCAATATAGCGACCACGACGGGTGATTTGAAGCCTACCACGGTTGGGTCCATGGTAACGATCCCATTTGGAGGATGCGCTGATGGCACTGGATGGAATACGACCATTTTTCATTCCTAGGGGTTTGTACTGTTGTGACACTGAAGAAAAATAATCACATTCCTTTATCATACTTATCATCATCATCATCATCATCATTATCATCCTCATCATCATCATTAATATCACTGTCAATATTTATTACCATTAATTCCTTCATCAATCCGAAATACGCTTTAACAACGATCGGAAAATTCACAAGTCCTCGATATCTTTACTGGAGTAACATCAATATTCTTTGCGACATTTGTAGCGATATAGAGAATAACCCTTACATAGAATTAAAATTTTAAATTATCCGTCTTTTAAGATAAAAAAACACCACGGAGATAGGAATAAATCAAAGAAAACTAAAATGGCTGGATTGTAAATAGCTACAAATAATACTTTTGTAAAAAAGGAAACCACAAGCAGCAACCATGATAAACCAAAAATGAACAAGAACAGCTTGCACATAACAAACTTGAAAATTGAACGCTGAATTTTTCCCGATGCACATGCCGCAAGGTAGTATGGTAAAACTTTGTAGGGCTAATTCTGTAGGGCTGATGAAGTTGAATGAAAAAAACTCAACGGAACAAGGAAGGGTTATACAACACGAAATACCAAAATTACTCACCTCGTGTCCATGCACTCCTGGTGATCTGTGGGATACATTTTAGTCCTTTGTTTGTAGGATGACGCTCATTTGCAGCGTAACACAACCCTCCGATAATGCAGTTTGTTCTCTATTTCAAGCAAAGCAACACGAAAATTGTTTAATTTGAAAAAAAAAACAGTATAGTAAAAGAATTATATTTCTATTTTCTTGAGAGACCTTCTTTGTTAATAATCTGTAAGTGAGGCATGTGTTGGCGAGACATCTCCAAGAATTAATCAAATAAGATTTGGGAAGGGGGGAAAGGGGGGGGATTAAAACGAATTGCAATTGAAAACAGGAAGAATTCATGCTAATCATTCGAAATGCACATACATAGCTGCACATTGCATAGCTCTCTCTAAGAGAGAGCTATGCAATGCTAAGTTTGGTTGTCGAAATGCACATACATAGCTGCACATTGCATAGCTCTCTCTAAGAGAGAGCTATGCTATGCTAAGTTTGGTTTTAATAAATGAGTTGATAATGTAAATTGGCTGTCGTCAGAAGGAAGGGATAACGCTCGAAACATCAGCTTTGGAAACTCTCTATGGTCAATTTAAATTATCAACTCAGCCGATAAAACCAAATTATCTTGGTATACCCACCCCTTCCTCCCCCCTTACCCCACCGACGCAGCACCACAGTTTCTTTAGAAACATACCCCCCTCTTATTTTTCTCTAAGCGATTTAACTTGAATAAAGGAGCAACGAAAAAAAACGGAGAAAGTAACTCAAATCTTCTTTAAATGAACAATCCGTTATTCATAACTGACACTGTATAACAGAAATAAGTAGCACCTTTCGCCAGCAGAGTCCATTTGGTAAACATCTGTGACAAGCTGAGTCGAAAATAACCAATTTCAACCGGTTGCTGGTCAAGACGCCATTGTTTGAAATTGAGATCAGTATTCTCAGAGGTAAGCCACGGAGTTTTCTTGCTTTAGGAAAGCTGAAGGGAAGTTTACATCTTGCTTCCCTGAAACTCTGCAAGTGACCACGGTTCTTCTTCTGTGCTCCAATTCCATGCCATCTGCGACGTATCAGCTAAACAGGAAAAAATAGTTGTTACCGATACTTATTGTTGTTATATTGCCGCTGTATGTCAGGAAGTGAACTAATGGTCAGCATCCTTGGTGGTGATTCAAAATCGCTAGGCTTGTGTCCTGGTCAGCGGACTCAGTGATTGCATAACAAGTGAGTGATCCATAACAACTGAGGCCGAACCAAATCAAACTGGTTTGAATCCGTGCGTATGATCGGAACCAGAAAATAAGTGGACTTGAACATCAAACTGTTTGTTTCAAGGACCTTTCGCAATGTCCTATCTCCTATTGTTACATCTTATGCTCTTGCAGAAAATAAACAAACAGAAAATACAATAAATACATACCCTGGCCTTTTGCACGTGACAGTTTAAGTGACCTTCCCAGAAGCCAAGCCCATATACGCTTGCAAAGCGACACGCCCGTTTCCTCAAGTCGCACATGCCCTTTGACTGAAGTCCATCAATCTTAGGCGGCTTTCTCTTGTCGACTGAACAATCACTTGAAGCATAACCACGATAACAGCGGCATTTTCCGTTCACACATCTACCTCTCTTGTTGCAGTTGTCAGGGCAAAGCTTGCCGAGGATATTTACGTTGGGGACAACTTTGCCATTCTTTTTCTTCTTGTAGTTTTTGGGATTCACCAGAGCTGCAGTTTTGCAAGCGTCTTGCAGACTGGATAATGCTGACTTGGCCATGGAGAGTTTACCTGATATCTGGAAAATAGAAAAAGCAATGTTAGCACACAGAGAAGAAAGCGCAGTCAACATCGGACTATATTCCGTAAATCAATTTCCGTTTGATTTGTCACTCAGTAACTAACTGTTTAATTTTTTTCCGATTTACGTTTTTGCTTGATCTTGAAGACCAACTGCAATTTGCACCATTGCATGGTTTTATAGATTTGTACCTAAACCGTTATGGTTACTTCATTGAAAGCCTCACGTTTTTGCAGTCCGTGAAACCTTTAATTGCAGAATTAAACAGTGGCGCTTCAAAATTTTAGGGATGTAAAAGTAAGACAGAGATACCACATAAGCTGAGTGTTTTGTTAACCGCAGCAGATTCTAGCAGAGACAAGTCCTCATGATCCACGCAGGAAAAAGAGAGACGTGAATTGCTTTAGCTAATGGTTTTACAGACCATTCTAACCGACCTGAAAATGGACCTGCACCTGTCTTGTCACTTCGATGATCGCCTCACGTTTTTGCAATCTTCAAACCCCATACAGAATTAAGTACTGGAGCTTAACATTTGAAAAGTTTTTTAAAAAAAGTGGGAGAGATCGAGTGTAACATTTGCTGTTACAGGTACAACTTAAAAATACCACGTTTTCTGTATGTTTGCGCATTGCAGCACACTCCAGTTGAGTCAAGAAAATCACTCTGTAATTCACACTCTTCTAAGATCCTTATGATTATGATTAAAAAAAAGTGTTCACGAGAAGGAATCAATGCTATGGCAGCTTACCTTGATATCGGTCACGCACTCTGTCATGACTTTCAACTTCTTGGCACTCACAACCTTCTTGCATACGCGCACTATACGCGAGATTTCTCTCTTACAATGCCTTATCGCCTTCTTCCGAGTGATTCCCGACTTCGTTGGCCAGGTAGGGACACGATACTTCACTTTGGGAGGTTTAAAGACATAGTTGATAGAGTTCGGGTCGTAATCTCTATTATCGGTTCGTCCGGGTTTCTTCGGATGAGGCCGAACTTTGATAGGTTTCACAGATTTCCCGCCCTTGTCCGTGTCTGGTAGTGGCTTCACGTCACATGTGTTGAAGCGGCGGTTGCCTTTCTTAACGCATGCGCAAGATGGCTTGACGCGTCGACTTAGAGATGAGATGCGAGGAGGCAGTCGCTCAAAGAGACTGGTACCTGGACGCAGTCTAAAAGAGAAAACAAAAACATATTATGATTAGTACAATATCTTGCAACCTCAAAATATATATTATTCACATCTATTATCATTGCACTGAAACTGCCGTTTTTTAAGGCCGATTAGATTCCCCTGTGCGATCGTTAAAGGTTTAACTCCCCGATATTGAGGGCGCGGGGCGTAGCGAACTGCGTCTCACTCTACTGAACCAATCTTCTCGACCAAGAAGTAAAGTGTAGAATCTCTGTTCAACGCCCTTTTTAACTTCATAATAGCTTATTAAATAAGTTTCTCCTAAGACCATTTTATCAACCAGTTAACTGTTATAGCAAGGCAGGAAAAGAAATTAAAAAAAGGTCGTTTTCGCTACGATTTTTTGCAGGGTTCTTTCTGACAACTCACCTGTATTTATTCGCGAATGTATAGATACCCTTTCTCTCCAAGTCATCGTGCGGGTTACCATTGTTGTTTCCACAGAGTCCCACAGTGGATCCAGAGTCTACACCAGGGACTGTGACGTACAAACTCATACCCCAGTTAGCACAGTTAGCCTCGACTATTGCACCTGACTTCATCATCACCTGAAAACAAAACATTACTGGTTAATTGTTTCTCTGCGCAACAAGATATCTAAAATTGACTATTTTAAGACCAAGGCCCAGAGGTTTAAGGACAGACAACGCTATTCAACGGATGAATCACCATTCAGCGGATTATGGTCAACAATACGTACAGCATTATCCACCGGATAGAGATTTATTCAGTGCATAGCGTTGACCACCCTTCGAACAAACGATCTACGAGGATGGCCAAGGATGTCTCACAACAGACGCTAAGAGAATAAAGAATAAATAAAAACCATATCTAGTAAACTAATATGTACATCTCCAATGCTGCACCTCTGGAGATCCAGGGTATAAAAGTTTCTTTTGTTATAGTATGTCAAAATTCCTCCTTTCGCATATCGAACAGAATGCAATTTGCAATGTCTCACTTTCACGAATCAACTTACCCACCCTTAACCTCTAATACTCTTACTCCCCTTACCTACCTAACCCGTAACCTGTTCAACTCACAGAAAGTGAAACGAAAGACGTTTTGACACAAACCTTAAAGCGCGTGCTCTGACCAGATCCATATCGTCGGATTCTCATTCGGTTGCCAAGAGGCGCGCGTGATTTCTGGATCACACGTGGGCTGGTTCTTTTCCATGGTCCGTGACACATGTCAATATTCACCACATCATTATTCTCACGGATGGCTACACCACAGTTACATACCACTCTCCAGCAAGGCCATAGACGAGCATGCACCTAAAGACACGACATGGATGGAGGTGAAAAAACAAAGTCAGCGCTCGTACCATAGGCGCACAAGGCAGAAGTCTATCCCGGTTTCTGAAGCATGACGGGACGACAAGTATTGCTACCCTCCCTGGATGGGATGCTAGTCCATCGAATGTTAACCCCCCCCTTCCACGGCATTTTGTCAAGTTTCCTTAACAGTTTGCGAGTACCAAACACACTCCTGGATGGAGAGAGGCATGGTGAGGTGGACAGAGGCCTGGTGAGAGTAAAGTGTCCTTCCAAAGAACCCAACACAACGACCCGGCCAGGTTTCAAACCCAGACCTCTCTGCCCGAACTCTAACGGACTAATCGTTAGGCCACCGCTGTCAAGGCTCTTCCAGCCCACGAGCCAAAATGGTGCGCAGAGTTGGCTGTAGAATTAATGTAAAAGTCCATACCTCAAAGTTTCTTCTCAAACTCTTCACCATAACGTAAGTGCCAGCGTTCCTCAGTATATCGTAATACCTGAAATAGAAAAACACACAGCAATTTTAAACACCAACAAAAAAACAGTTCCTACCACGAAGCATGACTTGAGTAATTAAGTCTAAGAAAGAAGTATTCACAATTTACTCTGTAGGGAGGGGCAAATACAAACACGGGAATACAAATAAAATCAATCCCTTGGGTAGTGGGATGTAGCCCATCCACCACGATTTTCTGGTATACAAGTCAAAGAGCAGTTGACTCACTTGTTGTCAAATGTTCGATAATGAGGATCTCCAGTTCCTTGACATTTCTTGACACCTCTGTTGGATGTTATGACCTAGAAAATCAATCAGTTAGGTAGCTTAGAGCTTTGCCGTATCAGAAAAACCCTAGAACGTTCTCCTATCAGATTCAATGTAATTATACAGTCGAATTGATAGACGTTCCTACATATCAAAGAAACACAAAACTAAGTAAAATCGAGTAAGTAATTTTCGTTGGGTGCCAAAAAGGAAATAAGAAATCCTTATAACATTGGTTTTGCTCTGAGACACTCAGTTATTTGTCAAGGAATCCCGCGCCATCCTCTCAACCAATCAGTTGCCAAACTAAACCCAGTCGCGACTTTGTCACCCTCGTTTTCCCGCACTTGGAGCAGTTTTTTTACTTTGGGTTATCCACAGCTCTTTGTGACACTGTATCTCACTCAGTCAATAACACCGCTGACCATAAAATCCCTGTTCACCTTGATCGGTGGAAGAGTGTAACCCTTCCAGAATCCACAGAGTCCAGGAGTGAACCTAATGGGACTGAAGTAAGCACGGACGTTATTTCTCTTCAGTTTTCTGAAATCTCTCACAGGTTTAAGATAAAACCCATAATTTTTCCTGTTTCTCTCTGTCAGAGTCATTTTACATCTGTCCGTCACAAATCTTGTATGAGACTGAAATTTGATGATCACAGAACAACTTCGACGACCACGACATCTGATTGGTACCAAGCTACGAAGTCTGATTAATTTCCAGCCTGAGCTGTCCGTCATTGTGAGCGCTTTAGGATTGACCTGGAAAACAATCAGAACAAGAGATAAATCAGAGAAAGAAATTGAATGCTAATAGCAGTGTCACAAATGAACCTAGCCATGGCCTTAACTCACCGTAGAGTCTCTGAGGAAAATCTAAAGGTCTGATTTTCAATTCCTAGCAGATGACTTATATTTTTTCTTTTTGTCTCACCTTCATGACAAATGAATAACATCTCTCTCTTAGGTTACTAGATTTAAAAAATACTTTGGCATTTATCTTAGCCAGTGTTGACCCTTTCCCTCCCAAGATCTTTTTTACTAATTTTCTTATTTGCATCATGGCCATACAATTCTTATGATGTCAGTTGAGAGAATTTGGCACTGGATCAACTAAAATCCCCCGATATTTTTCTTTATTCTCATCACTTGTCTGCTTGATATTGTATTGATAGTGTCAGGAGAAATTCTCTCTTGGTCACTCATGAGAGTTGAAGGGGTAACATTGTTTTGTCTGAAGATAATCCTCAACTAAACGAACTCAACAACAGGAGGCTAAAGTGTCTAAATGCAGAGGGCGAGAGAAGTAAATTTTACCTTAATGCCAGTGAAAAAGGCTTTACTTAATTGAGCCATTGTCCAGTCCTTTCCACTGGAATACCGCGCCTTTACCTTACAAGCAACCTGCAAGTATTGGAAACAAATGTGTTTTTTTTAAATCTCTTTTCCACATAAAAAAATACTGATATTCAAGTCAAGTATGCAATAGAAGGAAATCAAAAGACATACATTATATTCGGGAAAACGGCGACCTTCCATTTTCACAGTAGCGACTATATTGCATCCAACAGCAACATTATGTCGCAAGGTCTCGTTATGAGTTGTTTTGTTTCCAGTTCAAATAACTTTCATATAATTTTGATGTTTGTGACTTGGTTGAAGTCGCATGTTAAGAAGACTTTAACATACCCTGTTTTTGAACGGGCGGTCTTGTTGGGTGAGACTCACTTTGAAATGATAAATAACTTGACTTGTAAAAGACTTCACAATCACTCTTCTACAAGAGTTAATTTTTTCTGCTTTATCAATGTGCTCTTCAGATTTCATCATACGAATTTTTCATTGACAAAACATCTTTTTTGTTCGTGAATACTCGATCAAGCAACAAACCAAATAGTTTTTGAAAACAATGCAATGAGTTTCGCTGACTCGACTTGTCCAGTTACAAAAAGGACGATTTTATTCTACAAACCGTTGTTCCAGCTTTAAATCCATATGTGTTTTCTAAGAGTTCAGCATAGTTTCCTCGAACAGTTTCTGCCTTGGTAACTTTCTTGTTCACAATCCAGTGTACACGGGCTATTATTCGACTGTTTCTTCGTCCCCTGGTGTTGAAGTAGCAGCGAAGTGCAATCTTTGAACAGCCGCGGCCAGGTTTGGTGACAGCACGGACGACTGGATGGGAAATCTCCGGATAATCTGACACAAAGAAGATCAATCAATCAGCTGGTAAGACAGTGAATTAGTGAATGAGTCAGTCAGTCAGTCATTGAGTCAGTTCAGTTGGTCGGGGTGTCAGTCGAGGAGTCATTGAGTCAAAGAGGTATTGAGTCTGAGTGTCAGCCAGTCAGTCGGTTGATGATTCAGTTACTGAGTTAGCAAATTGGTCAGTGAGTCAGAAAGTCAGTGAGTGAGTGAATGAGTGAGTGAATGAGTGAGTGAGTGAGTCAGTCAGTCAGTCAATTCAAACCTTACCTGCGCGACAGCCATACACTTCAACCCTCATAGATATATGACCGTGCCATGATCTGGGGTTAAACCGCACATATCTTCCGTTCTTTGGTGGGTTAATGGGTTGCTCTACTATGGAGAACCGGTCAAAGTTGCCTCGGAATAGCTTAAAGAGAACACGTAAAAAGCCTGTATGAGTCAACTGTTAGTGAAATTCCCAGGAAACATAAGAAAATTTCCTCCTCTATCTTGATTGCCCTTCAAAATAGTTCAGAGAATTTGGTGTTACATTAAGATAATACCTAAGGCTCTATTTCTTTATACGGTGAGACTTCCTTTCAGGGGGACACCCTCGAGAATATAAAAAGTGTCACTTAAAGCGAGGTGAAGGTGACAGATAGAGTGGAACCTCCATTACGGGGGCACTATTGAGACTAAAAAAAAGGGTCCTCTAAATGAAAATGTCCCTTCACTGATAGCAACAGATACTGAGGAACCTCCATTCAGATGGTACCCGTGGGAAACAAAAAGTGTCCCTTGCGTAATTGTGTCCCTTCAATGAGACCAAAGATACAACAGTAATAGGAACATCTTTTTCGTTGGGACTACAGCTTGTGTCTCTTGGATGGTAATGTTCTCTGGAAAGAGAGTGCCCCTTAAGAGTAGATCGGCTTTACTTTACACCAATAGCAATTTTGTTTACAAACCTTAATCTTTGCTCCATCTTTAATGGGCAGGAACGTCCTTCCGTTTTGACTGTAGTACAGATAGTAGCTCCTGACAAACTGGTTCGCATCATACCGACCCTGTGTGGCGACCTTAGTTATCCTGGTTGGTCCTCCAAGATTGATTTGTAAAAACTGCCGATGATTGTTATGTCTTGTGCACCATGCACCCACCAGACGTCCCACTTTCCTGTAAAATGTAACAAGTTTGATTAAGACTCACTCGCAATTTCATTTGGAGGTGTCTTTGACGAGTCACGTTTGTCTTTAACTTATATTTCATTTGATAACTTGTCCTGTAAAAAAAACTGGAATAACTATTTGTCCTCAGGGAAAACTTTTAAGGACACTTGAAGTGATGAGAACCTGCCGAACTAAATACAACATTTGTCATGTGGACTACGAGAAGGCCTGTTTTTTTCTGGATATAGAGCGAGGATGTTTGTTGAGAGGAGCTGGGTACAAGACTAGGCCCCGTTTTTGTCGTCTCGACCTAGCCCCATTCCCTTCATGTCTGCAGTATCGCACGACAAAAAAGGGAATGGGCTAAGTCTGATTTCAGTCATGCAGTCTTGTTAATTAACTTACTTTATGTTGAGTCGCGCCCGAGCAGGATTGTGGTTCTTGTCCCATTGAGACGAGGCTCTGATGGCGCTGTTTGGTATCTTACCATTCTGCATTCCAAGTGGCTGGAAGCACATGCGGAACATGGCTACCAAAGAAAAAGAAAAATTGATAGAAAATAAAAAAAATTATTAAAAATGGAAAAATAAGTAAGCAAGAGAACATTTGGTAAAATCCTCTGGATATACATTTTTGGAGCGAGAGATCTAACCTCTTTGTGTAATTAGTGAGTGTTGCCTACTTTTAAATTTTTGTTGTTTGTATTAATATAAGAGTTAAGTTGCGAGTGAAAAAAACGTGAACATGAGAACTTTCAAAACATTTCCTTTCTTTTAAACTGCCCTATTTCTCGATTGGAAGAATACTCTTACCAAAAAAACAAACAGAAAATTTGAGCTTTATTTCGGGAAAGTGAAATACTGTCAGGGTAGCATTACTAAAATTAATAAATAATTGTTTTGATGATGTAATGACGTAATTTAATGATGTAATTTTGATGTGGCAATGATGTAATGATGTAATTTAAGGTTTCCTTACCTCTATTGCAACCATAAAGCTCTGCTCTCATGGAGATATGACTGTGCCACTGTTTGGGATAGAATCGGACATACCGAGCACGGAAACTGGGGTAGAGCCTGTTAAAGACTACAGTGTTCCTGTCACTGTTACCGGCGAACATCTGAGAGAAATTGAAAAAAAAAAAAAAAGTCATCGGATTTTAATCAATCAAATCTAGGTGCTGGAGTGACATTTTTGCAAATACAAGGCGAAAAATAAACAGTTCTTACCACGACTTTTCTGTTGATTGTGTAGAACTTAAACTTGTTGCCATACAAGCCGTAGCTTATCTCGTATTTCTTCACCCATTGGTTGGCATCGTATCGGCCTTGCGTTGCCACAGCAACAACCTTTGACACCTCACCTAGGTCAATCTGTATCCACTGGAATACATTGTTATAACGCGTCGACCAGGCTCCGGTGCCTCCGCGGTTCAGAAGATTCAGACGAGCTCTATAAGGACCATGCCGCCAATCCCACATTGAAGAGGCTGTCATGGCATATTTTGGAATGCGGCCATCCTCAAAACCGAGTGGAGCACCACATGCACCTGTCAAAAAGAAATGAAAGGTTAGAATGAATTCTTCTTGCTTCATGTATCATGTCCATTGCTGTAAGACGTTGTAGTATTTCTTGCTATTGGCAAGTCAGCTAATGCAGAGAGAAGAAAGATTCTATTACCACAGGCGGAGCCAGAATATGCTACGCGCGGAAAGTTTTTGTTTTGTTTTGTCTATAAACCCAATATCAACCGATCTTATCATCAACCATCTATAGTAAGCGTAAGCGTTTGTGGCAGTTCCTTGATACTTTTCGTTTTAATAATCTTTTCCACGTACTTAAGGATAATTAAGTGATTGTTACAATGTACATTGACTTTTTATTGCAATGTCAATACAAATAAGCGATGTGTTTAATTGCCTGAGTTCCGAATTTCTTTCTTCTATTTTACCACACTGAAGCGCACAAAACCCACTCACCAGGAATAAAGACAAAAAAGCAAACAAAACAAAAACAGTATAATGCAGAAGGAAAACAACACGCATTTATAAAACGTTCCCAAATGGCCTCACCTAAAGCACAGCCAAACAGCTCGACCCGCATGGAGATATGGCCATGCCACGACCAGGGATGGATTCGAAGGAAGCGAGCTCGGATAGACGGAATAATTGAGTTATAAACTATTGTATTTCTGTCACGGTTGCCACGGAAATACTGAAAAAAAGAAGCAAGATGTTGGTTCTATGTATACAGGACATAGTGTAATACAGCTGCCAGAATACAATGAAAAAATACGTCTTCACTTAGTGAAACCAAAACATGGAAATATAAAAGAATCACTGAATATGTTGCAAATGGACCAGTGCAAAAGCAAAACTGGTTTAACACCTCCTATTGTCATAATTGCAATTAATATTTAATTACTCTTAAACTCCTAAAGGTGATCGACACTTAGTTTTTCCTTGCAATTCTAATATGTTATTTTGCAAAGAGATAATGACGAACATACAAGCTTATCGGCTAAAGAGTATCCTTTGATATAAAAAGACCAAATTCTCCTGTCTAAGACGAAATGCATGGCAGTCAGAGCTGAGAATTACTTATTGAATCTTGGGACTTACAGGGTTAACGTTTTAAGCCACATTGCGAAGTTGAATATTCTGTTAACTTTCCTGATAAAAATGCAATATAGCCTAAATGTGCCCGGAATTACCTTTACACCATATACTTCAAGAATATGCGCCTCATAAATTTCGTTTAAGAATATCGAACGTTTAGTTTATCTCCTGAGTCTAACTTTCTCAAGAAAAGTAGCTGGTTTTCACTCTAGGCAAGCTTGCGTAATTTACGATCTGTCACTTTGATTCTCACCTTATCCACGGAGTTCTTTCTGTATCTAGCAAAGTGTACGCCGTCTACACCGGACGACAGATAGTAAACTGTCACCCATTGATTCACTGCAGCTCGTCCTTGCGTACCCACACGTATTATCTTTGATATTTTTCCCAGGTCTATCTGTAGAAACTGGTGACGATTGTTATGCCTTCGAATGAAAAATACAAACCTTGTTAATTGTTTTAAGAAGATATAAATGAGACTGAACTTCATTAGTGAAAGAGTGAACTACTCTTCCTTACATTAATGTTTCTTGGACCACCCAGACCACAAAATGTCTTTAGTTTACAACACATTCCATACTAACCATGAAAACATAGTTCTAGCCTCATGCAATAGCTAAAGGTAGAAATTTTAATGCCAAATACTTGAGTTAGCTCTTTTGAACGGTGGCAAAGATCAACATCTCATTGCTCATGCCCACAATAGTCAATGACACTAAGCGCGTTATATACCCTACGACATAAATATAACATTTTAAATTTCTTGTTTCTTTACCTGGCTGACCAGGCACTCTGATATCTGCCCATGCGTCGTGCATTAAGCCTGGCCAAAAATGGTGCATGATGTTTATCCCACATGGATGATGCTGTGATGGCCGAATTTTTAATTGCCCCCGTCATCATCCCAAGCGGTCGATTGCACATGTGACCTAGAAAAAACATTATTCCATTAACATCAATTAGAAAAATTTGACGAACCACAAAAAACATCAGGTAAAATAGCAATTTTTTTTTAAAAACTTTTTTTTTTGAGATCCCGAGTGATAAAATAGACATTCTTTATTTTGAACAGAGAGAATTTCAAAGTAAGACTCATTCGTGACAAAAACTGCTATTTTGGATGAGTTGACGCGTACATTTGCCAGAGAAACCCTAAAGGTACCCTTCCAATCTAGCAAGCCCCTTGAAAAGTGCAGTCACCAAGAAAACATGCGAAACTCACTGATGTTGATTTGGCATGGGACTTGTAATTTCTTACCTCTACTGCAGCCGTAAAGCTCAAGTCTCATTGAAATATGGCCATGCCAAGTCTGTGGATACATTCTTATAAAACGAGCACGGATCGGTGACCGGAAACGGTTTATAACGACAATTTGCCTCTCGGAGTTTCCTTGGAAGACCTGTATAAATAATATAATAAAATAATAAAACAGTGATGAGCATTATAGAAAGACAGTTGCAACAATCTACATGTATGGAAAATGGGCAAGTTTTCTTTCGCCTCAATTTAAGTATTTGAGGTTCCTCTTTTGAAAATCCGATACCGAGACAAGTTTAGGTACGCAACTTTTTATTATCAACGTAGTGTTGCTCAGATTATGGCCCGCGCGTTCATCAACAGAATGCCCCGTACTAAACTGAACTTCCCTATGGTGGTTTCACATACCCTTGTTCGCCCTCCTTCCTTGTAGAACCTGAAGTGAAATCCATTCATTCCATAGGAAACTGTAAAGCTCTTCACCCACTGATTGGCGTCATATCTTCCTTGGATTCCTATCTTAATGACAATCGCTCGGTTTCCAAGGTCAATCTGGAACCACTGACGCCTGTTGTTGTAACGTGCTATCCATGAGCCGTATCTTGAGCCGCTGCGCATGGCATTCAGTCGGCCTTGGTAGGCGGCATAATGAGCATTGTAGATAGAGGATGCAGTGAAAGACACATCAGGCAGGCGACCGTCTTCTGAGCCCAGTGGAATATCACAACGCTCTGGAAAATAAAAAAAAATTTAATTGTTGAATTAGTACTACTAGAAAGACAATTTGACCGGAAAATATCCTACCAGTTCTCCAAACAAAGGTGATACCGAAACTTAGACTGCACAGTGTTTAACTCTTTCACTCCCAAGACAGACCAAGACATCATTTCTCCTTATAATATAAATACAACCACAAGCAAAGAAGTGACGAGAATTAAGAAAAATCTCATTAAGGAGATTTGATGCAATACTTAATTCTCTGAAATAAAATTATAAGGAATATGTGACAGACAGTATGGAGAATTACTAAAGAGATCTTGGGAGTGAAAGGGTTGAATCAGTTGTTAGAACTTATGTGTTGGTTTATGTACGTAATGTTTCTCACCTGGAGTACAACCATGCAGCTCAAGTCTCATGGAGATATGCCTGTACCAACCACGAGGGTGAACACGGACATAACGTGCTACTATTGGTGGAGTCAGTGTGCGTGTGACAATCGATTCTCCATCGTAGTTTCCTACAAAGTACTTTATAGGGAAAACAATTATGAAAACGATTATGAAAAAAGAGTCAATAAATGCCCTCAAGAGATACTATAGAATGATGTTTGACTTTTCATCCCAAATGAGTGCTGAATGTGTTTAGAACAACCAACCCCTGTGAATGTCCGCTTACCTTTTAGAAGGCATTGAAAATCATCTTGGGGCAAATTGTTTATTTTCTGCTCTCCATAGCATCACATCGTTTTTAAACGATCGGGTTCTTACAAAATACAAAATAAAAAGCGGCCACAAGCCCTTATTTTTAAATCCTACGTCTGATTCTTGTCTCCTCCCAAGAGTGGCCAAGTTTAAGCCAAACAATAAACCCAAAATGAAATAGAGGCCCCATATCAACTCAGGTAGCCATGTCAATAAGACAATAGAGGCGAGATAAAAAAAAAAGAAATATTTAACATAAAGACGGGTGTATACCTTCAGTCGATCTCGCTGTTTGTAAGATACATAGTGAACGGCATCCAAACTGTACGAGACTGTATATCGCGTCACCCACTGCTTCACAATTTTTCTTCCTTGTGTCGATATCATTGTAACCTTAAAAAGACGGCCGAGATCAACCTGTATCCATTGGTTATGGTTATTGTGTCTAGCTGCCCATCCTCCCATGTAACGACCCGTACGCACGCGTTTGAGCCTTCCAAGGAATGGTGCGTGGTAACGATTCCATACAGACGATGAAGTCATCTGACTATTCTTGATGCGGCCGCTTTGTACACCGAGTGGGAAGCTGCAGAATCTTGTTAATTCTGGAACACAAAGGAATATGTCAGTCATCTCTCTATTAACATAATCATCAGGGTAGTGAACATCTTATTTTCGAGAGATCTTTACAAGGTAGGCTGAGTATTTGGGTCTTATCTAAGTCAAACTCCTTTGAAACAGCCAATTCTCCAATCAGACTCCAACGGCGATAAAAATTATAGTGAGTCAGACACTTATCTCAAAGCAGAGAAACTTTTAGGTCAAACACCCGTTCAAAACGCGAGAGAAATCCATTCGAGCGACTCAGCTTTAGTTACTACTAAATCCTCACAGGATTTCCGTGAGCTAATGATAGTTTTAGATAGATGATATAAGGATATCTCTTATACTGGTGATTTCCTCCTTAGCCTGATCGTCCCTCAATAAAATATTTTAATGAATATGTTAGGTAACATATAATTTGTACCTTTAAGACATCCGTAGACTTCAGCTCTCATTGATATGTGACTTCTCCAGGATTTGGGATGAAAACGGACAAACTGCGCTTTGAATGGTCTGAGTAACGTGTAGGATACAACTGAATTTCTGTCTGAGTTTCCACGGAACATCTAAAAGATGGAAACAAAAACGATGAAGTTAGATCTGGATAGTGCTTTTAATGCCTCTTCAGCCAGACAGCCAGGTTACCGGGATAATTTTCAGCCCGCTTTACCGCGCAAATATGTCAGTGTAATTACTTTAAGATGAGAAATGTAAGCTCTGTTGCATCTTGACAACCGGGCGAGAGAGATCACGTGGGAAATTTCTGAACACGGTTGCCAAATTATCGGCCGCAAAACTAGGTTCTTGATTACAGGACAAGCCTCGTACATGAAAATATAATCACAGAAGGAAGAGCGAGATGACTGCAATCATTTGACAAGGTCCTTTATAAAATAAGAAAACTGTGTAGAAAGTAGCTAAAACAATGCTTCAAAGTGGTCCAAAAAAATAACCTACCCTGACTTTATTTCTTTCCCTATAGGCTACAAACTTGGTTCCATCTCCATACGACAGCATATAACGAGTCACCCATTGATGCGCGTCCCTTCTGCCCTGTGTGGCGATTCCTGTAACGCGTCCAATATTTCCAAGGTTTATCTGCAGATACTGACGAGCGTTATTCACACGTGTACTCCATGAACGGATAGAATTGAGTCGTCCCAGCCAAGGAGCCAAGTGGTGATTGTAATATGTTGAAGCACTAAGGGCACCGTCCTGTATTCGTTTGTCTTCCAAACCAAGGGGAAGAGCACAACGTCCTGAAAAGATGACAAGTTAAGAAGAAAAGGATTGTCATTGAGTGAATTATATTGAATGAAGAAGGCTTGGTAACAACATTACGACAGTTTTTCCAGACAGTCTTTCATTGTTATTGCGCATTTCAATGACATTGGAGACAAATCAATAAAGTTCGTTTCACTTTACCGTCATGTTACAGAAGAAAATTCGCAACCACAAGTTTGGTTCCAAGCCTTAGAATTCACATGTAACTGAGAGACGCAAGTGACAATTCAAAGTAATCTAATTTACTTTTGAAAACTATATTGAGAGCACCAAAGTTCTTTTTTTCAATTTTTTTATTTCTTCTTTTTCAAGGGCGTAAATGATAGAACTGTGTAAAGGTTGTACAGGACTTCACTACATAAAGAACAAAACGAGTGGTTGAATTTTCGCAAACAATAGGTCATATCACGACAGTTAACAGGCGAACAGTCAAAGAAACAAACAAACAAACAAACAAACACAGAAGTAAAGTGACTTTACCAGCTGGGCAGCCATTGACTTCAACTCTCATGGAGATGTGTCTGTACCATCCTTTGGGGAGGAATCGTATGAACCTGGCGCGAGCGACTGGGAACAGTCTGTGTTGCTTAATGGTGTTTCTATCGCGGTTTCCACTAAAGTACTGAGATATGACATAAAAGAATATGTAAATTAGAGTCAATTAGAGAGATTGTGCAGAAAATCTACAAAATTTAAAAAAAGGGCTTTTTTTCCCTGAAATTTTGAAACTTCAGTTTTCAAAATCTGTGCAGTGGCAATATCTATCTGTTTTTACTGTAATCAGCAAAAGTTCATTAAGGCTTTAATTTTACAAAGTAGCTCTAGCCACGCCGTTAGTATGGGAGAACGAAGTCTGCCACTTTGAAAATGACGGTAATAATAGCCAGGGAGAATGTAGAGATGTATGGATAAATGAATGAATGAAAGAATAAATATGATTGACTAAATCTATCCATGAACAGGGTAAGGAATCAATAAATTAACAACATACCCAGGGTCTTCCTTGCGACCAATAAACTGCAAAATGTGCTCCATCAAGACTGAACGACAGCATGTATTTAGTCACCCATTGATTGGCATCACTTCTTCCTTGAGTCGCGACACTTGTTACCTTCATTGGTACTCGTAAATCAATCTGTAGAAACTGGTAAGCGTTATTAACACGTGCTGACCACGCCCCCATAGTTCGTCCCGTACGCTTCTGATTGAGTCTGGCCAGACGTGCACCGTGGTTTGCGTCCCACTCTGAAGAGGCGCTGATCTGCTGGTTTCGTATGCGGCGGTTCTCCATTCCTATTGGCCGATTGCATTGTGGACCTGTCGGTAAACAAGCTTTGGTTACATTCTCGAAGATGCATTTTGGCATAACGGGCATTTTCTTCAAGGGAGATTGGCGATTTCACCATTCTGTACGCCGTCCCAAGGATTTTAAATAAGGTAGCTCATGAGACAAGAACCACTACCAGTCTGTCATGTTTTAAAGTTGGTGTTACATACGTTCTAGTATTACAAGTGCTGTCGTCATTTATTTTATCTTAAGAATTTTTCGTTAACGTTTGAGTCGGTGTTCAGCTGGACCTCCTCGTTCTTCCATCTTTTCTTTCGGGGAGGGGAGGGGGGGGACGGGAAAGGGAGGAGATAGATGAACAAGGGGAAGTCTTTGATGTAACCTGTTACGTATGTACGAGGCAAAGGTAATTAGACTATAAAGTGTGTTCAGTCCAGATAAAAAATGCTAATACAAACTACAACCATTGAAAAAATTCATCCAAAAGTTAAAAAATCACTGACCGACGATGCAACCATAGAACTCCACTCTCATGGACATCCATCCACGATACGCTCTGGGGTGAACTCGGATATACCGAGCAGTGATCGGTCGGTTTAAGGTGTGTGTTACCACAATGTAACGGTCATAATTGCCTCGGAACAACTAAAAAATCGTGAAGGGTTCATTCGTTTGACGGATTAAAAAAGCACAAATAAACATAAAGTAAGATAGTGACATTTTTCCAAAGAAACAGACAGAATGTGGAAAATTAACAAAGAAAAAAAAGCAAATAAAAACTTAATTCACGCATATGAACCAAAGGAAATAAGGCCAAAAGACACAGCAAAGGTGAATAAAACAAATACAAAACCGAAAAGAGTTAAAAAAAGAAAAAAAAAAAAAAAAACCAGAAAATAAGACACACAAGTAAAAGTAAAGATGAAACCCGAACGAAAGATGGTTATGTTATTTCTGGAGAACTTTTCCAAAAGGGTGCAGATACCTTCACAACTCTTCTTTCTGTGTAATATCTGTAGGAGGAACCGTCACGGCTGTAAGATATTCTGTAAGTTTTGACCCACTGTTCAGCGTCATATCGGCCTTGAGTGGCAATACCTGTTACCTTGGTAACTGCCTCAAAATCAACCTGTTGGGAAGAAGCGACCTAGATGTAAGACAACTGTTTAACGCATCTGCTGTAATCTCCTAAGAATAGGGACCTTAAGCAGTCAGGACGGCAACGCCAAGGGAGAAAAAAATGAATTTCTGCCTTTAATTAGAATTTAAAAAGTAGCTACATGTGTTTACCGTCTCATACGGCGCCACACCTCAACTTCAGCATAACGTATAAAAGAAGCGTTGAGTTCCAAATGGAAATTAAATTCATTTGACGACGCGGTTTCGGTTCGCAGACGACGCAAATTGTGGTGATTTCACGTTGTTGTTTTGCATAGAACGGCTAAGAAATGTACAAAGTTTTAAAACGCACGTGCTGACCTATTGCTCTGCCAATTAGATCTTTTGTTTTTCCATGTCCTCGTTGCCGTCGTCGTCGTGGTTTGCTAAAGGTCCCTAATAATTTGAGCAACGGTCACCTTAATCTATGGATAACATCCTTGCTTGCAAATTTTGGGAAAATAATGATTTCCTCTTTCTTATTTTATTTAACTCAAAAAACCATGAACACCTGAGAGAAGTTCGGCCAATCAAACGAGAGGGCATGTAAACAAACCTCGAGTTCACAGAATAACTAGCGTTACTGCGTACAGATGAGGTTTTTCCGTCAAGTTGGCTTATTTTCCTCGACACAATCTGATTCTCGGAAGGTGTCAGCGGTTCACGGTTCTCTGAGTTCTGAAAAATTTACTTTTTCCCACCGCCTCAATCAAAGGCCTCCTTTGTGACTTAAGTCTCCGCAACCTAAAGCGAACTGAGGGGTCTCAAAGCGACTTAAGGTCACAGAGTAAGCCTCCCTACCTTTTCCATTTAAGAATCACATTGTCACCCACTAACCTGTAGCCATTGTCTGAGATCATTTTTACGAGCACACCATGATCCTCCCATCCTTCCCACTCGTCTCTGATGCAGACGAGCATTCCACGGTCCACAGTAAAAACTGTGGTAAGATGACGCAGTGATCAGAGGATTTGCTATTCGACGGTCCGCAACACCAAGAGGCATGTTACAACGATCTGAAGAGAAAAAGATAACGGAGCAGTGTTAACTTGTTGGTGTATTTGTTGAATTAATTTAACCTAGAATTGACATTGCTGAACAAAAAGAGCACACCGTAAACTACAGTCGGCGACAAAATTGTTGACACATTGACCTTTTCAATCCTCTTTCATTGAACTGTTTTGCCCTTGCTAAATTAACTTAGTGTTCGCCCCATTTCCCTTAAAAACAATGTTGTTTCATGATTCCATGAACTTTTAGCTTCATACAGGCAACACTGAATGGGGAAAGAGGGTCTTGTCAATGATTTAGAGTGTGTTAGAAACAGGAGTGTTATTCTACATATAAATAGAACTCTTCAAATATGTGTCAACAAATTTTGACACTGACTGTAGATATTCAAGATGCATCATAAAGTGATAGGGCTATAAACCTTGTATACCCAAACATCAGCATGTATATTCTCTAAAATTTCCTCCATACTTTTCCTTATGTTGTCATTTCCTATAGTATTTCTCGCAACCCTTAATGTTTGATTCAGTAGTGATAATGTAAGGAGAAATTATATGCTGGTCATTCCTAGGGGTAAAAGGGTTAGGAAGACATACCAAGGCCCTTTACCTCAGGGATTTGCACCCTAGTTAAACATTAACCATAAGAGAAGTAGACCACGAAAAATTCGTATCAAGAAGGCTGAAAGCTCTGAGGCTTTAAGAAAGGCTCTGAGAGAGGGGAATTCTTTTCTCTTCACGGCAGAGAAATATTCACTTACTTTCTGGGCATCCATAAAGCTCCATCCTCATAGCTATATAGCTATACCAGCCTTTGGGTGTAACACGGAAATACACAGCTTTGATTGGTGGAGAGAATGCATTATTCCTCACGGAGTAACGATCGTTGTTACCAGTGAAGTACTGGAAACGAATTAAGAGATAAAATAAGCATTAATTGCCATGCAATAAATGGTTAACGGTTAGGGGCCAGTCACTCATCAACTGGTGAGCAGAGGATATTTCTTTTTTTTTGGGGGGGGGAGGGAGAGGGGAGGGGGGTCACATGGTTTTTAGGGGTACCGGAGGAAGGATCAGTTGTCACCAACAGAGTTTTAAGGGAGACTATAGAAAATTGATGGCCAGTTAACTGCCAATGAGATTGGATCGTAAGAATATTACAGAGCCCTATGGGTGGATCAGGTATAATCCACTGTGACGCAACCAAAACCATCCCACCAGTTCTTTATGAGTTATCAGTCGTAATGATAAGACCTTAGGCATGTAAAACAAACGTCAGTTTGAGACGGAAAAATTCTGGTGATGTGAATACTTCAGTGTCATAGCTAGCGACCAGCGGCTTACCTTAAAGTTTCCATACTCCATGTAATATTCAAAATGCATGTTATCCTGACTGAACGCCACCAAATAACGCGTCACCCATTGGTTAGCATCTGCTCTTCCTTGTGTTGCAATTCCTGTGAGTTTCATTGGTCGACCGAGAGCGATCTGCAACCATTGATTGGCGTTTCTAATTCGGGCGACCCAAGCCCCCATGAAGCGACCGGTACGCGAGCGATGGAGTCGAGCGAGGAATGGACCGTGGAAGAGGTTATAAGAAGAAGAGGCGGTCATGGCAGTGTTTTTGATCTTACCGCTCTGAATGCCAACTGGAATGGCGCACGGTCGAGCTGGACGAAAATAGAGTTTATACAACGAAAAAAAAAGGACATAAACGAATAATTACAAAATGATAGATGGAAAAATATCCTTGAGCCGTGTGCCACTTAAACCAATACAAGAAAAGGAAGGAAATCTGAATTATAAAGGAATCAACATTTTCGCCCCAGTATCTATCATTGTTCGAGACAACGCCAGTGGTCTTGTCGACTGAACAATGTTAAATTTCGCTTTTAAACCTTCTCTTAACAATTTTTATACATAATCCATCAATCAGCTGGAGGTTCTTATCTTGATCTTCTACCAAACTCTCCCAACTAAATTCCAAGAAAAGTATAGCCGCCGAGACGGATAGTTACTTATTTGATCATGAAAGTTAGTCACTCGAGTTACATACCAGCTAAACAGCCATAGAATTCAGCCCTCATGGAGACGTGACCGCGCCAAGACCTGGGATGGATTCGAACAAACTGCGCTTTGAAGGGAGGAACGAATCTGTAAGCAACCACTGTGTGACGGTCAAAATTACCACGGAAAACCTGAAACAAAAGAAGTAAATAAAGGCAAGGTTAATATACTTTTTGTGAGCAACATAGTGTGCACAACATACAAACAGAACATACGCTCTTGTGTAATGTGGATCCAATTAATTTTCAATATGCCTTTTTTTTAGTTGAAGGCCTTCTTTAAGGACATTGTAACGGAACATTTCAGGGTTGAATTGAAAGACAAAATAAATATTAATAATATTAATGGACCCATCCATTATTTTGAACAACTTATGTCAGGATGAAAGGCAAATTCTTTGTCCCTCCGTAATAATTGACACAAAATCAGCTATCAATCCTACCTCGTAACATATTTCTAGCAGTAAGAGAAATAAGTACACAGCTTTAATAAGGATTCATCACGAGGACCTACCCTTGTTCTTCCATATTGCTTATAGGAAAAGAATGTTCTGCCATTTCTGCTGTATGATACAACGTATGACATCACCCACTGGTTAGCATCTTGTCTTCCTTGGGTGGCCACGCCCATGAGGCGACCCATGACACCAAAGTCAACCTATTGACAAATATATCAACACACTCTCATTTTCATAATATCAAAATTACAGGAACGAGGTAATTTCCGAAGTTTGAATATTATTTCTGTTTAGCTGTGACACCAACAAGGTCAAGGCAATTATTGGTAAATTTTCGTTAGCGGCTCGCGTTTCAAAAAGGAACGGGTTCTAGACAAACGCTGTCATTTAAATAACTTTAAAATTATCGAGCCAGGACATAACAAAATAGCCAAATGTGACATCATCGAACCAAACGAGGTGGGAAATTTCCATGATCTTGAAATAAGTTTCATAAACTCGCTAACAACTTCCAAGATCAAGTGGTTTATTTCTTGAATAGCTTTACCTGGAACCACTGTTTAGCGTTGTTCCTCTGGGCACACCAAGCACCCGTCCGTCCACGCCCTGCGACCATGTTGAGTCGACCTCGATCGGGGCCATGTTTGGAGTTGTAACTTGAGGAAGCAGACAAAGCACCGCTTGGAATGCGGCGATCTTCGAGGCCAATAGGAACCTTACACCTTCCTGTAAAATAGATAACACAATACTGTCGTGAAATTCGGTTAAGAAAATGTGTGTTTGAGCAAAAGAATAGGCTACATGCGACTAAAAAATTCTTTATTATTTAATACCGGCTAGTAACCGAATTATAATAAACAGTACCCATTTCAGTACAGTGCTCACTATAGGATCCCCACTCTCAGTGTATTGCTTGAATTTACATTTCTTTCTCACTATATCTTGAAACTCTTAGCAAATAATCCGTGTTGACCTTCTCGCCTCTGTTACTAATCGAATGGATATTTTAAGAAATCGACCAAAGTCTTAATACCTTCAGAGGGACATCAGTAGAGTATAACATACCTATGGCACAGCCATACAGCTCAACCCTGGTCGAGATGTGTCTGTACCATGATCTGATGCGAAGTCTGACGAAACGGCCACGGATTGGTGGAATGAGAGGATGTGAAACAACTGTGTTCCTATCCCTGTTTGCTTGGAAGATCTGATTAATAAAGCATCAATTACTTCTTACAAAGATCTGTCAATTATTAAAGGTAAGAAGTAATAACTTGAAATCATAACGAATTCTTTCTACTGCTTAACACATACGGTGTATAGTTCTTCACGAGGGTTAAAATTTACATTAAAGAACTCATAGACGGGCTACCTTCAGAGAAGGAGTATCATTGAGGTAGAGCAAGCTTCACCGCGAAAACGCTCTTCAATATAAGTTATGTAAAAACATTTAAATTCTTCGACATCGGTAAGTGAGCCCTTTAAGCGATTAACTGAAAATCAAGAAACAAAACAAACCTTCATCGTGTTGCGTTGAAAATAATACGCAAAATAAACGCCATCCTGACTGTAAAGTAAGTAATACGATGTCACCCACTGATTGACTGTGGGTCGGCCTTGAGTCGATATACGGACCACTTTAGTGGGACGCTTTAAGTCTATTTGTAACCACTGGTAAGCGTTATTAATCTTGGCAGACCAACCGCCCATGTATCGTCCCCTGCGTTTGTTTTGTAACCGCGCTAAATGAGGAGCGTGGAAGTTATCCCAGCGAGAAGATGAAGTGATGGCTACATTTCTGATGCGGCCATTCTGCATTCCAAGCGGACGATTGCACAGTTTGCCTGAAAATATAACAATTTTTAATGCGCGCAAAATACGAGCTGGGTTTGAACTAGGTTTAGCACTACAATTCTGTTTTTGATAGTACGTCATAAAGTTTAAAAAGTTTTCGACCCGAAAAAAATCAGAGATGACTTTCTAAAAAGCAAGGACGATTCGAAAGTGTTCTGTTTGGTTGCCAATAAAGTACTTTTCTTTTCCTTGAAGAAAGCCAAATGCCACTGGTTATATTTACATTAAAATGCTGTGCTGACGGAAGTTCATTTGTTTCTAGGAACTCCTCCCTAGTAAAATTTATTTTTAGAGCATTGTCAGCGGAGTTTCGTTTGAATGTCTTACCCAGTCTGCAGCCGTAGAGTTCAACCCTCATGGAAATATGGCTGCGCCACGTTTTTGGATGAACGCGCACATAGCGAGCTTTGAACGGACGAAGGAAACGGTGTGTAACCACGAAGTTCCTTTCAATGTTGCCTATAAAAATCTGTAAAAGTAAAATGAGACATTTTAGGGATTACCTTATGAATAATTACTGTGTTCTTTAAAGGAGTATGCTGTTTACAGAGTAATTCCTTATCACCTTTACTCCTCGTCCTTCCTTGTACGGAATAAATCTGATATTGTTCATACTGTAGGACACAGCATAGCTTGTTACCCACTGGTCAGCGTCATATCTCCCCTGGGTAGCGATTCCTTTTAGTCGACTGATGGTACCCAAGTCTATATTGAGCCACTGTTTCCAATTGTTGTACCTGTAGAGAAAGGTTTAAAAAAATTCAAATAGTGTGTACTTCTTGTGAAATTGTGTAGTTCTAATTGTTCTAATTGCTGTTGTGTACTTGTTGGCAACTTAAGGAATATCTGGTTAGTGAAGTACAGGCCATAGGTTTCCAATCGTCTTTTCTCGTCTTTTTACGATTAAAGCTCATCATCTTCGATTCAGTTATTTCATTGCTATCCTTACAAGCGAGAAAGATGAGGTAACCTCTTCGAATTTATTACCAGGGAAGGGAACAACTAGGTAGACGAAAAAACCGTGATACATGTAATGAAAAAATTAAATAAAAGTTATTAACAAAACAGTAGGCGCGTTGAAGATAATCTAACCAATCTTGTCCTAGCACCAGTTATAAGTAACCTTCGCATGAGAGCAAATCTTTGAGTAGCGTTCATCAGCCACTTTTTGTATGTTTTCAATGAAATTACGAGCAAATTGTAGACCTAAAACTGTTCCAATGTGTAAGTAGATACGATCGGACTTACTTCGCGATCCAGCCTCCACGCACATATCCATGATTTCTTGATTGAAGCCTGGCATTCCACGGACCATAGTAAAAGTTATACATGGAGGATGCTGTCACAGCCTGTTTGGTGATACGATTATCTTCCATTCCCAGTGGCACACTGCATGGATCTAAGACAAAAAAAATGAAAAGAAAGCTCCGTCATAAATGAAGGAAACATGGACGTAACCTAGCGCTGGTAAAAAGAAATAACATGTCGAGGAAATTAGTGGATTATGATATACAATTTAAAAGAGTTTAGTGATTTTTTTTCCTCCTAAAACTACTGAAGAAACGCGTCTACAAGCGAGACTTTCGTTCTTCTTGTAATACTTGTTTCCGTGTTAAAATAATATCTACATAATTCGATAACAGGGGCAAAATATATCTCGCTGGCAATATGAGATACACCATGGTTAGGGTGCACCCTGCAATTCAAAGGTATGGACGTTTGCAAAGCCTACAACAGGCTCTGGGTACAAATCAGAGAGCTTTAGGGGCATAGTATTTTAGATGTGCTTTTCTACCTTGCTACAATCGTATCATTTAAGTTCATTACCTGAGCGACAACCATAAAACTCAGCTCTCATTGAGATGTAACCATGCCATCCCCAAGGATGCAGACGGAGGTAGCGAGTTTGTATTGGAGGTGAAAGAACGTTTTCAACAATGCTGATACGGTCACGATTGGCTGTGAAGTACTGGAGGAAAAAAAAAACAGGATGATTTTCAAACCGGGAAAGACATCCTTTCATCAGTCAGTTCTTCACAGGGTAATTTAGTATTATCAACTGAGTTGATAACGTAAATTGGCCACCATAAAGATTTTAAAAGCTGTGGGTAGCGTGCGTGTTTAATCTCCTTACTCCATCAACGCTGAATCAGACTCATTGAGGTCATAAGAATAAATCAAATGATCACCAAATAAGAAGCTCTTAATTTTTGACCACGCTCCTTCCATTGTACAGAACACTCTCAAAGAGATTCCTGTGTAACCTCACCTTATCCTGACTCCTCTGTCGGTATGTGGCCCAGTGCAGTGTGTCTAAGCTGTAAGTCAATTTATATCGTGTCACCCACTGGTTCGCATCTCTTCTTCCTTGGGTGGCTATCTTTCTCACGGTGGTAACTCTACCAAAGTCCACCTTGAACCACTGGTTATGATTTTTGTGTCTTGCGATCCAACAGAATGGTTTGTTTAAACGTCCATTGGGTGCTGTGTATCGTGCATTATACGCTGATGACGAGGTTATTTTTGCATTGGGGATTCTTCCAGATTCCAATCCCAATGGACGATTGCAGAGGGGAGCTACAGAATAAGTAATGAAGATGACAACTCAAAATTGCACAAATAAAGAATGATGAAAATAAAGAAGATTAATGGATTAATGGTTCATCCAATACCATATTCTCCGAACTAACATCATCCGAACTAACATCATATGAATCAAAAGAATGTACGGTGACGAGAATTTCTAATTAGATCTTGTAACGTCGGTTTGTTTCTTTACTTTTTAACGAACCAATTACGTGAAAAACATCGGTGAATGTTCCCCCTTAGGTGTCCATAAATATTTAAGCCCAAAAAAATATATACAAATTTCTTGAACTGAACTTTCAGGACCGAGAAGCAGTCCTCGTCAATACTTAAAGCAAGTATATAGTATGTACTTAAAAAATCACATTAGAAACTCGTAAAGAGACGGGTAACAATCTACTTCACAACAATTCCGTGTCTTGCCTGGCTTTATAACTTACCAATAGGACAGCCAATGAAGTCCAATCTCATTGACATCCAGCCGTACCAAGTCATAGGATGAACACGGACGTATGAAGCTGCGATTGACTTGGCAAAAGAGTTTGTTACTACTGTATGACGGTCACTGTTAGCTGAGAAAACCTGAAACACGAATGATTACAAGTTAAAAAAAAAGGGTTTTAACTTCTTCTTCGCACTACGTGTAAGGAGACAAACACAACACATGAAATTATAACCTTTCCCCGACAAAATAACCGTAGGCAGAAAACTAACTATTCTAAGTCAATTTCACGCCGAGTTGAGGCACAAAACCCAAGTTTTCGAAATTGAATTGGCAATCAGTGAAAAAAGGTTTCAAAAGGAGACAGATTTCACAGTTCTTGATATAGTTTATCTGTTCTTCTCAAACCTTGATCTTGTACTGGGACATTGGGCGTTGTCAGTGTCTCAATGTACTTCAAGCCTAAATACCCCAAGAACCTTTAGTTCAATTATTTTCGATCTCCTACTAAAACTTCTTGTTAACGGCAACCTAAGGATAATTTTTTTTGCTTAAGCAGTTCACAAATACCTTTGGATACTTGATAAACTTAATTCCGTCTCTACTAAAGGTCAGGACAAAGCTCTTGACCCACTGATTAGCATCTTGCCGTCCTTGGGAGGAAATTCCAGTCAGCCTTGCTAATACCCCAAAGTAAACCTGGAGCCACTGGCCACGCGCGCTGCGCCGCGCACTCCATGACCAGCGGTGATTGATACGGCCATGCCAAGGAGCTAAGTATCGGTTGTAGTAGGTAGAGGCTGTCAATGCGCCATCACTTACGCGTTTGTCTTCCACTCCAACTGGGACAGAGCATCGTGCTACGGGAAGATAAAAAAAAGTATTACTTTTAAAAACGAAACAGAGGATTCAAATTTGACTGTCCTTGAACTAACGTTAAACTTTGCGCATATAAACGTCGAGTATTGAAGTTGAACCACATTTAAAAAAATTCAAAAAATATGATCCACCTCTTTTAATGAGAGTCTAGTATAGCGAAGTGTTACGAGAGAGAAAAAGTATGCTCGTCATTTTGGTATCTGAACTTTTCGCCCCATTGCAAGTTCGGCCCCTATCATCTTTGTGAATGTGTCCCTTCCGTAAAACAATTTTGCGAAAACATCAAGGCCCACCTACTTCCATCAATCTGTCTTACGATATCAAGAAGTTTAAAGGGGACACACTAAGACATCTTAAAATAAAAATGAAAAGTCAGTGTAACCTGTGTCCGAAAATTCTATTTACCTTGCACACATCCATAGAATTCCACTCTCATGGAGATATGTCTATACCATCCCCATGGATGAACTCTGATGTAACGAGCTATTATGCGGGGGAACAGGCGATATTGAACGATGGAATTCTGATCTCTGTTTCCAGTGAAATACTAAAGCGCAACATAAAAACACAATAAAGGTTAACAAACAAAATAAGTTGACTCGAGTTTAAGACTTACACTTTCTAAGATGTGTAAACCTGACAACAGGCCTGAAACCTTCCATAATATATAGATTTAGGCAAGCCTAAAAGCGGAGCTCGCATTTTTTTTCCCGCTCGTCTCTTCAACAAAACTAAAGCCCAATTTACTTTTTTCCACTTTGAGTTCTTATTGGCTAGTGATAATGAAAGTCTTTGTTCTGATTGGTCCCCGGGGTCATTTTGGTTTTGGTTTTTCGACACTCCATTGGAAACCACTTTAGCATATTTATTTGAACGTCGATCATAGATTGAAACTAACTCAGTACTTACCCGTCTAGCACTATTTAGTTTGTATTCCGCAAAGAAAACATAATCCTGGCTGTAAGACAAATAATACTGAGTCACCCACTGAGCAGTATCTTGTCGTCCTTGAGTTGCTATTTTAGTGACTCGCATTGTGCGACCAAAATCAACCGAGAGCCACTGGTAACGATTGTTGTGACGTGCGCACCATGCTCCCATCCGGGAACCAGCTCGTTTGAAGTGGAGTCTGCCATTGTTGGGACTATGGTTTTTGTCCCAGCTGGATGATGCAGTAATCTGGGAAGTTCGCAGTCGGCCGTTTTGCATCCCCAATGGCTTGTTGCATTGTGGACCTAACAGACGGCAAAAAGAGAAAACGAATTAATTTTGAGCTATGTTCTGGCCAGTAACTGATCAGGGTTTTTACTATTGAAGTTACGAAGGTCGTCCGAGTTTGCACGGTTCAAAGACCTTTGCACGAACCACTTTTTGAAATGTTCAATGTAAATTGTTTAAACAAAAAAGCCCGTTTTGTTTGTGGGTTGGATAACTCTATAACTGGAAAAATCTCTATTCGGTGGATAGTTCACAACGTTCTCTAACTAACAGTCATTCGCTGGATAGCTATTAATCTCACTCACCAATAATACAACCGAAGAATTCCACCCTCATAGATATCCAACTTCGCCAAGTAACTGGGTGAAGCCTAAAGTAACGGGCCTTTATGGATCTCAAGAAACGGTTACAGACGACGATAAACCGGTCATAGTTTCCAGAGAAGATCTAGGTTGAGATAACAAAATACCATAATTTTTGGACAGACTACAATGTCAAATGATAGGCGCAATATTAACTTGGATCGAACAAGTATCGTACACGGGTAAGCAGGTGAGAACAAAAGTCCCGACATTCATAACGTAATGAAAAAAAAAGAGATTTATACAGGGGAAACCTTCCCTGGCGGTTCTCAACATCTCTGGCAGCTCTGGGCTTATTTATTGCGTGATTTCAAGGGTATGCTATTTAGAGACTTTGATGCATTCTTTATGTTTCACACACAACTGCGGAACAGTCAAACAAGGCTACAAGTCAAATGAGGCTGGAGAATAATTTGTCAACATTCTTTGATTAGAAAAGTTAACCTAGATTTAGACAATTGCAACCTTTGGTCTTAGTCTTCCAATATATAACAATTTAAACATTTGTAGAGCATTCATCCGCTAATTCTGAGTGTTTAAGGTTAGACTCTTCAGGGAGACAAAGATTTCTCTGAAGCCGGTAAACAATAATAATAATTGAACAATAAGTTATCACCTTTGTTCTGCGACCCTCTTTGTAGGTTATAAACCGCTGACCTCTGCTACTGAATGAAACATAATAGCTTGTCACCCATTGGTCAGAATTTTGACGCCCTTGAGTGCAAACCCGCGTGACTACAGTATCAGTTCCAAAGTCCACTTGTAGCCATTGTTTATTGTTTCTTTGACGTGAACACCAGGCTCCTCCGTTTCTTCCAGCGCGGCGCTGATGTAATCTGGCATTTCTTGCCGCACAATAAAAGTTGTACGAAGAGGAGGCTCGGAACTTTGGGTCTGGGATACGTCCATCTTCTAAACCGAGTGGAATGTCACATTTACCTGTAAGCAAATTCGTGTAACAGTAGATCAGTTTTTTGCTCTTAGAAGCGATACACGTTCGTTTTCATTGAGATATCGATACGCTATCCAGAAAACATGAACGAACATAGGCGCAATATCAAGTATGAAAATTTTACCTCAGTACAACTACAAATTATCGTAATTAATCCAAAATGAAATGTTTAGCAACGAGAAGGAAAAAATGACTAAATTCATATCGAAAGTCGAGGAGATTTACGTTTTTAGAAAGGACGTTTTCAAATTAGATTATGAAATTTTAAGAGATTAAAGAATCAAGAAGGGAGCTTTACTAGTTAGGCATTGGAATCTAAAGAGATTAAAGATTCTAGAAGGGATGTTTGCTGGTTAGATTTTGGAATCTAAAGAAATGAAAGATCCTAGAATGGAGGTTTACTAGTTTGGTATTGGAATCTAAAAAGATTAAAGATTCTAGAATGGATGTTTACTAGTAAGCGGTATTGGAATCTAAAGAGATAAAAGATTCTAAAATGAAAGTTTACTAGTTCAATTTTGAAATTTAAAGATTCTAGAATGAGAGTTTACTCGTTAGATATTGAAGAGAAATTGGGAGTTGAAGAGACTAAAGATGTAGAAGGTTAAATCAAAAGATTGTTAAAAAAAAAATTGGTTCTCGTGGATAAGTCAATAATGTTTCATCCCGCCTTCAACTAATTGTTCCGAATTCTTCTGGCGTTATTTATTAACGTTTGTTGCGTTGTTTCTATTGTAATATTAACTTAACGCTTGGAACAGATGAAACAACACTTACTCCAGGGGCAGCCGTACAACTCTAGTCTCATGGAAATGTGAGATCTCCAACCTCTTGGCTGAATACGTACAAATCTTCCATAAATGGGTGGATCGAAGGATCGCGTCTGAACTCCATTTCTATCGTAGTTACCTGGGAAAGTCTTAATAAAGAATAAAAAGAAATGGACGTTTTGATAAAAAATGAAATAATCTTCAAGTAAGCATTGAACAAGGGTCACTTTCTGGGAAGTTCAACCGAAGTTACAATTGACTCCTTTAATCTATTTGACATTTAAACTTAAAATATTACCTACATCATAAGAACATGATGATTTCCAAGTGAGTCGAAGATCACAACCCAAAATGTTTACTACTTGGGCACTGTTCATCTCTTAACCCTTTAACTCCCATGAGTGACCAAGACAGAATTTCTCCTTACAATATCAATACAATATCAAGCAGACAAGTGATGAGAATAAAGAAAAATATTAGTTATGGGATTATATGTTGATCCAATACCAAATTCTCCAAACTAAAATCGCAAGAACTGTATGGGAGTCAGTAAGGAGAATTACTAATGAGATCTTGGGAGTTAAAGGGTTAAAGACAAATCAAAACAAAACAATAGAACCACATATTACCTTAACGTTGTCCCACCATTCTCTAACATATGAGAAGCGCGTCCCATCATATCCATACAGGACCCAATAGGCTGTTACCCATTGATCAGCGTCTTGCCGTCCCTGGGTGTTGATACCCGATATTTTCATGGCCTTTCCTAAGTCAATCTGCAGCCACTGGTTATGGTTTTTGTGGCGGGAAGACCAGGCTCCCATAAGCCGTCCGCGACGCGGGCGGTGAAGTCGTGCCAAATATGGCCCGTGGTTTGCATCCCACGAAGACGAGGCTGTCATGGCAGAATTCCTGATGCGACCATTTTGAATGCCCACAGGGTAATTGCAGAAATTCTCTGTGAAAACGTAGCTAAGAGTAAATATGACCGTTTTCTTCAAGAGAGGAGAAGGAATTGCGTCAAGTAAGCGGACATACGCGTAGGTATTACAAGCGATGTAAACTGCATTCAAACACTAGACAACTCATTTCGAATGTTAAAAAATGTATCTACATTGTTTTATGTTTACAAAATTCTTTCTGGGCTACGTATGAAGGCAAATGCTCGAATCCGCTTCCATGTAGAACTTTCACTTTTTAGCTGTAACATTGTTCAGTGATGCCTGTGTGGAATACAAATGCCTGTTTTACCTACCTCAACGTATCATCAGATTAAACTTTTAGACATTATTTAAATTTACTCTAGTAGCGATTGTAAAGAAAAGAAAAGACGACGATTGTACTAACTGTAAATATACATGTACCAGTTGTAACAGCGAGCGTTTAGAATTAGTTTTAAGGCCCTCACCTCTGGCTCGGCAGCCATACAACTCTACCCTTATCGCAATATAACTTCGCCAGCTTCTTGGATGCAGACGAACAAAGCGCGCTTTGATAGGTGGGATGATACGGTGTGTCACAGTGTGATAAATAACATAGTTGCCACGGAATAGCTGAAACAGTAGAAATTGTAAATTGCGCTGATGTTTCACTGATACTCTTCAAACAAAGACAAGGCATATAAAAGCCACGAAGTGAACAAAAGTAATTGCTGTTATAATTCAGTGAGAATAAAATAAATGGTCTTGTATGCAGATAAAAATCTGTTCGATTTGATATTGCACGATAAAGGAAAAATATTCTTCAAACCACATCAATATTAATGAGCGACGGAGTTATGTATCAGGTAAGCAGTGCGCGAACGAACACGGAAGGGATACCCACACAACATGATAAGAGCAGCGTGGAAAATTTGTCTCAAAAGGGAAAAAAATCAGACAATCCTTACCTTAATCCGGCCATAGGCAGCGTACATATTAAATCTCAGGCCCGTTCGGCTGTAAGAGAGTGTGTAACTCTTCACCCATTGATGAGCCTCTCTCCTTCCTTGTGTAGCGATTCCTTTGATGAGGCTCAGTTGTCTCAAGTCGATCTGCAGAAACTGCTTGGTGTTCCGATGCCTGGCCACCCAGGCCCCTGTTCGTCCATGACCGTTGACGATGTTAAGCCGTGCTCGGTCAGGTCCGTGGTTGTAATTGTACGACGACGACGCCCGAAGATGACCCGACAAGATACGATGATCTTCCATACCGAGAGGCATAGTGCAACGATCTAAAATACACGTGGATCAGCTTTTAGTCAATGAGTCTACTAACCCATTATAAGCGAAAAATAGACATTTCGTGACTTTCCGATACTCCTACCAAACTCAATTTCTTGTCTAAAATTTATGCTAGTTAGTATACGATTGTTCCGAAACCTCAAGACAACAATTATTCAAGGACCCCTAACTATTTTTCCTCGTCTCATGATAGTTCTTATCCATATACCTGTGAAGCATCCATACAACTCAACTCGCATAGAAATGTGAGAGCGCCATCCCCAGGGCACCACTCGGACGGCACGGCATTTGAGTGCTGGATTAAACGGGTTCATGACAACAGAGTTTCGGTCTCGATTTCCAGTGAAGTACTGTGGGGGAAAAATTGAACTTTTAATTTGCCATACCCATAAGGCAATTCATACGCATCGTGAGGAAGCAAAAACTACACAGCGCTTTTTGATCAAGTGTTGTGAAATCAAACTTGAACCAAAAGAATAACAACAGCTAATCAAACCAAAGGTGCACAACACTAGGAACCAATGAGGACTCATTGTGCTTGCCTGATAAGTGTAGAAAACGATCGACCCTTTTTAAGAGAGAGTTTCCCCTCTTTCTGTTATATCTCCTCTAAAGTATTGCGCATATTTCAAAAATTGACCCTTCAGTTCTGATAATTATAAACGGCGAGGTAATCCTCATAAATGGGGAGCCAGGCTTAGTAAAGAATATAAGGGCCAGTTCTCCTCATAACTCTTCACTCACTCTTCTGCTGTTGCGCTCTTTGTATTCGCTGAATCGAAGTAAGTCCAAGCTGTGCATCACGTAATACTGTGTAACCCACTGATCAGCGTCTTGTCGTCCTTGGGTAGCAATTCTGATTATTTTTGCCGCCCTTCCAAAGTCCACCTGCAGGTACTGGTAACGATTATTGTGTTTTGCTGACCAGGCCCCCATGTATCGTCCGCGGCGACCCCAGTGAAGTCTTCCCATGAAGGCAGCATGGTAATTATCCCACTGAGACGAGGCAGTTACCATGCTGTTTTTGATTGCGCCTGTCTGGAGACCCATCGGTCGGTTACAACGACGTCCTGCGCGAAATAATGTTATTATAATGTTATAATTGGTCAGCCCTTTAGTCCTTATCTGTAACTAATCTCCTATTTCTCTTCACACCTTCACTGTTAATTCAAACATGAAGGCTACGAGAATAAAGGGAAGGACAGCTACCTGAGGAAGCTCATAATTTTTCACTAATTCACAAAATGTAAGCGGCAAAAAATAAGTCAAAGAATTACGACGTATCTCTACTGAAATCATACCATCCAAAACATTCCAACAATTATTATACTTTTTCCCGTTCTGCTTATAATAACATGCACATATATGCAACTATATAAAAACGCATGTAACGTTTTCAAACGTCTCTCTAAAAGCATTGAACCGTTCGCCGAGACAGATAGACAGAAAAAGAAGAACACATTAACCGCCAACTTTGTTTATTTTATGCATATATTTTTCAAAAGTTGCGCTGTGAAATGCCTTCCTGAAGCTAATTAATACAGTTGCACTCACCGAGCACACATCCGTAAAGTTCAACCCGCATAGCGATGTGTCCATACCAAGTTCTGACATTGATACGAACAAAACGAGCAGCAAACGGTCTGAACAGACGATGTGTGACGACGAAGTATCTCTCTTGATTGGCCGGGAAAATCTGTTTTGATATTACAGGGTAGGAGAGACAGTAAAAAATTAATATTTTAAGTCTAATAAACAGTACTTATCCAATTTTATGTAAAGACTGAAATACTACGAGCACCTGTTTGTACGATCAAAGCTAAAAACGTGTCGTTAATTGCACCGGTAAACCCATTAAAATTTGTGGTAAATTTTAGTAAAAGTAACAGACCACACTTTTCATTGGTTTACTAGCGTGGGTTAATAGTAGCGTATTAACCCACGAAAAAAGTTGGTAAATCACGAGCCAGAGGCAAAGGAAACGTTAAGTCAATGTAAGGATTGCAATTACCGTCTTTGACTAATTCGGCGTAGTTCTCCAAACAAACACACAAAAAAACAAAAAAGTGGTGTACTTACCCTAGTGCGCCTATTTTCCTTGTAAGGATAAAACCTGACAGCATTGTTACTTATCGACAGCGTGTAACTAGTAACCCATTGATTAGCATCATATCTGCCTTGAGTGGCAATCTTCTTAACGACAGATTTGGCTCCGAGGTCGATCTGCAGCCATTGTCGATTGTTGTTAATCCTAGCTATCCAGCCGCCACGGGTTGCACCGTGATTCCGAGCCTGCAGTCTGGCAGACCATGGACCATAATATCGGTTGTAGAACGTGGACGCAGACATCATAGATTGCGTTATGCGGCCATCTTGGATTCCGAGCGGCGCTTCGCACTTGTCTGCAGTTATAGGTGAAGCGAAAAATGAAAGCATAACAAGCGATTAATAGGAAAATAGAAAATTAAGACAATTTTGATAATGAGAATAAATTGTGAAAGAGTGGTCAGATTCTCAGATTTTCAACCGTTTGAACCCTATTTAATCTCGTCTGAAAACTTTGATCAACCGGTTAAACTCAAAACGGTTTTTTTCCAAATAAAAGAGGTGTGAATTCAATCGGCCAACCCAATGTGAAGCCATTGATCCCAATACAACACGACTTAATGTTATATAGTCTATGTACAACAGCTTCGATGTCATATTTTTCTTCCCTATTTTACCTGCTTTGCATCCATAGAACTCTATCCTCATACTGATGTGCCGATACCATCCTCGTGGAATAATGCGCATAAAACGAGCGATCTCTGGTGGGTTAAGTACATTACATACGAGACTGTGTTGGTCTCGGTTTCCTTGGAAGTACTGTAAGATGCAACCAATAAATAACAGTTTAAAGGGCACATGCAATATAAATATCACATGAAATTTCAAGGGTTACTTTTAAGCTTGTTTTGTTTAAAAGTTCCAAACGCTTCATGAATCGGATTATTTATAAGAAAAGCCTTCGCAATGCCTTCCACGCTTTTCCTTAAAACGTAGGAAGAATACTGAAGGAAGTGTCATGAGAAATGAAGACGTGGGTTAAAAATGATTTCCCATTTTTAACAGTGCTTAAAACAGACGCATTTGGGAAATTTTTCCTCGGTTGACTCAGTACTTTCATCCTAATTCCTTTCCAATTTTTTTCTGTTTCCATGATTACGATTAACATTAATCCCACATAGCAAATTTCTTATTTAACTTTTAAATCAGGCGATAAAACGACAAAATAGTCCTGTACTAATTTGGTTGACAGAATAAAGCTCATAGTATGATATTTTCTTTCTATAAGTGCTGCTAAGAATACGTACCACATCGTTACTCTTGTATCTGTACATGGTCCAGTGTGTTCCATCTTGACTGTACATCACTTGGTATCTTGTTACCCATTGGTTGGTATCCTGTCGACCTTTTGTGACTATTTTCTTGATTTTCATTGGTCGTCTAAAGTCCACTTTAAGCCACTGATGGTGATTGTTGTGGCGTGCGCTCCAGGCCCCCCTGTACCGACCCCGTTTGACTGTCCCCAGCCTAGACAGTCTGGCATTGTGGTATTTGTCCCACTCTGAAGAGGCTGTGATTTGCTTATTCCTGATAGCACCACTCTTCATACCCAAGGCTTTGTTACAAACAGCAGCTGTATCAAAATAAAAATTTGCGAAAATATAAACATTTTGGAAAAAAACAACAACAAACAATATTAAATTTAAAGAATTGAAAATTCGCCCCTTTTTTATACCCCCTCCCTATCTAAAAGTGCATGCACCCCCCCTCCTGGCAAGCCTGAAATCTAGTAAGTCCCCGCAAGGAGGGAGGGGTTCTTAGCTTAGCAATAGGGTTATGGTAAATGGGTTTTCTTATACGTGCAATTGCAAAACAAATAAACAAAGGAAAAAAAAAAGAAAAAAGAAAACTGATAAAAGTGTATCTGACTACTGTGCACAGCATTTTTTTATTGATGAAAGCTTCAAAACTTGATTGCTATTTGTTTTCTACTCTGCGTCTATTTCTCAATTACCTGAGCATCCATACAATTCGATTCTCATTGATATCCAACTGTACCAGGTCTTAGGGTAAACCCTGACATACACTGCTGGGAGTCTCTTTCTGAATCGATGATACACTAATGAGTGGCGGTCTGTGTTGGCTGTGAATAACTTTAACAATCCAAAAACTCATGTTATTACGTGAAAAAGTTGTTCACGGTCTCATAATAACGAGTACAGTCAAATTGTATCTAGCGATTAGCCATGTGACTGTTACATAGAGTGCAATCGGCTGATTCGTTTGGAATCCATATAGAGCTATAAAGAAAAAGTTACGGAGACCACGTCGAAACCTCATTGCACCCATCTCGAAAACTAACATGACCAAAGAACTCTTAACCCTTTCAAATATTTCTGGAGATCTCTGTAAGCGTAGTTAGGTGGGTTTTGATTCTAATAGAATTTAAAAAAAAAAACGACGCGTGTTGGGAGTCATCATTGTCAATTTTTTGTGGAAAATAGTTCTAAAGTGAAAAGAGCCAATTATTTGTTCACTGATAAAATTTCTAAAAGTATATCATTACGAGTATTTGAAAGAGGCCTACCATCAAAGTTACTCTCTCTCATTCCCTAAAAGGCAATATAAAGTAAAAAAATTGATCATCAGTTACCTTGACTCTTCTATTCTCCTTATACTGAGTGAAATCCACTCCATTCATTCCATACGACACAGTGTAAGTCTTCACCCATTGGTTTGCATCCTGTCGGCCTTGGGATCCAATGCCTCTCACACGGTAGATTTCCACCATATTAACCTGAAGCCATTGTTTGTTGTTACGATATCGAACACTCCATGACCAGCGGTGATTAAGTCTTCCATGCCACGGTGCAAGGTGATGGTTGTAATATGATGAAGCAGAAAACTGGCCATTTGGGATTCTCTTGTCTTCCAAACCAAGAGGAACACCACACGGGTCTAGGATTCAGGGGAAGGAAAATATGATCCAAATGAGAAACCTTCTGGCAAGCAGATTTTTTTTTTGAAGGTTCAAATTCAATAACGTTACCAGTCCAAGTTGTCGAATAAAGTAGAAAAAAATTATATTGCAAGAAAGAACTTTAAAGAAACTAATCTATATGGAAGTCTGATTTTTAAATTAATAAATATTGGAGCAAAATTATAAACGAATAATAACCTTGTCTTCTAAGAATTGAGAAAAATTGTGTCATGTTGGTGGCCAGTGAAGGTAATAATCGCGTAGAATTTACTTATTCGTCCCAGGTAGATAAACAGAAGTACCGGATTTTAAAAAGTTGTTGTTTAAGCGTCAGCCCTCTGTCAGAGCAAAAAATTCACGATAAATCAATCTTCTGAAAAGGCCTCTATTTAACTGATCTTTTGGCACGTTTGGGTAAAAAGCGCTCATCACTTAGAGATATTTGAACTACGACAGTTATTTCAGAGCTCTCTTGTCTAAGCAAATGTACCTTCTGGGCATCCAAAGAACTCCACTCTCATAGAAATATGTCTGTACCAGCCCCACGGACGAATGCGCACAAACCGAGCTTTGATTGGTGGAAACAAACGATATTGCACAACACTGTTCTGATCCCTGTTTCCTGTAAAGTACTGTGAAAGTAACATTACCAGTCAAAACTTTGCATTTATGTTAAGAATTTTGCAATTATAAGGAAAGGCCTGACTAAAATCAATGCATGTTTAATCAAAAGAAATCCATTAACTTTAAAATTCTCATCAAAGATATCACAGTATCAAATTCGACCACACTAGTTCGCCTCCATCTCGACAAGGTCTCCCCGAATCTTTTGACTCGTTTCCTTAAGGCAGAACCTGTCCCTGAAGAATCCGACACACTTATGTATAGCTCTGACGAAAGGAGTCGAGTTGAAGACTTGGGGGCGAACGGGGAAAGGCCGGGGTGAACTTGTCTCAATTGATGAGGCGAATCAGTTCCTCGAGAGTCTTTTTTTCTTGGATGGGAGGATTGGTTGGGTTAGTAAGCAGCTATAAAACAAGGCACAGACTTCATTTCCAATTTGCAGCACCTGCAACAGAGCTAATCCGAGACACACGGATACCTACAACATTTCATAAAACCTGATCTGTTTATTACCTTTCGGTTGCTATTTTCCTTGTAGTCAGTGAATGTGGAACCATCTTGGCTGTACTCTACAAAGTATTGCGTGACCCACTGTGCGGCATCCTGTCTACCTTGCGTAGATATCTTCACCACGCGCATGGCTCGATAAAAGTCTACCGCAAGCCACTGGTAGCGGGTGTTGTGCCTGGCACACCAAGCTCCCATACGGGAACCTGTTCGGCGGAAGTTTAGTCGGGCATTGCGAGGACCATGATTAACATCCCAGCTCGAAGAGGCTGATAGTTGGGTTTGCCGAATGCGGCCATTTTGCATACCGAGTGGTTTGTCGCATCTTGGACCTAACCGAGGAAAATTTCAGGCATGAGGAGACTACTACATTGTATTAAGGAAACACATACACACATCTGTTTTCAAATTTTTTCTTACTCTTTTCCTGACTTTTCCTTGGTATAAATAAAAACGCCCTTGATCAGATAAAGACAAAATATATCATACTGTGGTAACGTTCAGCCCCCCCTCCGCACCCCCTTACAACAGACCAAAATTTCCACGAATCGCGGAAAGAAATTTTGAGCGCGACAGAGAGCAATGTAATGAAACAGAGAGAAATGGATGTTTTAAAAAGTTCGAATCTCACATTTTCCTACGAGTCTTCCACTGAAATTTAGTTTTTCCAGATTCCAACGAAATTCACTCATTCCTTGACCTTGAAGAGTTTCTTCTAAATTTTTTCTCATTTTAACAAACACTAAATGTATAATACAATTTCTTTATTCATTCATCTCTTTGTTGATAAAAACGTCTTATCTTTCCCCTATTGAATTTGCATTTTTGCAGGCTAAACCACACTGAAGAGAAAAAAAAAAACGTAGGCCTAGAAAAACCGCAAAAACTAAATAAGAAAACCAAAGTATCAGAAAACTCAAGCAGAAAATATATTCCTCTCAGAGCATCTTTGTTATAAGATATTCATAATTATTGTATACCTACCAATAATACAGCCATAAAATTCCACTCTCATTGAAATCCAGCTTCGCCAAGTAACTGGATGAATCCTAAAATACCTTCCAGACAGTGGCCTCAGGAATCGATTGGTGACAACCATGTATCGGTCATAATTGCCAGCGAATATCTATACAGGGGGAGAAACAAATTTGCCACCGTCACTAAGGCTTTTGGAAAATGGCTTCTCACCAATAAGTAAACTTAATATTTTGTATATCATGAGCGATTTAAG